AGATCAAAGACTGTCTTGTTTTTTCTGTTTATATTCCTAGCGCTTAGAACAGCAAATGCCAAGTGCTAAACAAAGCCTTTTTTATTCTTTTATTCCTTAAGCATTTCAGGTTACCTAGAAGAAATCTCTTTTCTTTGTCTCTCCTTTCTTCTCATACTCATCCATGTCAGCCCATTCTCTCCCATGTCTCTATCCCACTCTACCTTCTCTTCCATTGTGCCTTATGGAACCCACAATCTACGGGTAACAACTTGTCCTTCATATTAGACCTGTCCTTCTCAAGTTCCTCCTACCCCCTTGCAATCATGGGAACTTGGCTTCCCCTCCCCACCCTGCCCCTGGAAGATAAGGCATCCTGGGCCATGGATATGCCTTCAATGATGCCTCTCAACATACTGAACCAGGAGGAAGAGGAGGTATTCTACTTGCTTCTCATTGCTTTTTTCAGACTCTTCCCCCTCCACCATCACTCGGGAATCTCTCCTCCTTTGAGGTTCATTCCGTTTACATATATTACTATATCTTGGTAGCTACTATCTACTGGCCTTCAGATCATTCTTTATCCTTTCTCAAGAAGTTATGCAATCGGGCAGCTAGGTGGTGCAGTGGATACAGCACCAGCCCTGAAGTCAGGAGGACCCGAGTTCAAATCCGGCCTCAGACAAGACACGTGACACTTACTAGCTGGACAAGTCACTTAACCCCAAATGCCTAAACAGTAAAAAAAAAAAAAAGAAAGAAAAAAAAAGAAAGAAAAGAAAAAAGTTATGCAATCACCACCCTTATAATTAGAAACTTCAATTTACATGCTGATACCCCCTCAAATACAGTCTTACTTTCACCATTTACCTCAACACCTGTGATGCACTTTCATGAGGATGCAGTTCAATACAGGAATGGTATTATATAATCTATTATATACAACTCCTATGTTCCTCTATCTGATCATAACAATCTATCCTTCCACTATTCCCTGGGTATCCCCCACCACCCCAAACCTATTCTTCAGTGTCACTGCAATCTCCAGTCATTCCACCCTAATTTCCCAAGCCATCACCCTTGCTCTGGCCTCACTTTTCTACCCACAAAATTTTGACCCTATAGTTAACCAGTTCAAGTTAAAATTTTCCTCTACCCTTGTCCTACTGCCCCTCATTTCTTTCCAAATCCCAACTCTAGAGTGCTCCTTCCATCCACTAATGGGGGGAATTATATATCTGTGCTGAGTCCACTAAAAATTTGTGTTATATAATATCAACTTGGCTCTCACTGCTATATACCTGTCCTCTCAGTATCTATTCCAAACCCTTTTCTCTTGACTCGAGCTCCCCACCACTCCCTCTTGGAAGAGAATCTCACTAAATAAATATTTCACTAAAAGAAAAATCACCTCCATGTTATTCCACATTCTCTACTTTTTTGCTCCAGTATTAGAGAGATAGCCTTTCTATTTGTAAATGCCAAGCCTTCCACTTGTACTCCTGAGTCCACCCCCTCCTGTCTCCTCTCACACACTGCCCCTGTGATTTTTGTCCTCTCTCCTTAATCTTCAATTACTCTTTCAATCTCTCCTTCTCCAGTGCCTTTTTCCTACTGCTTACAAACATTCCTAGCCCTTCCCCATCCTTAAAAAAACCTTCATTTGATCCTAATCAATCTCTCAAGCTATCATCATCCTTCCTTTCAGTCAACCAGCACCCCCTATGTACCAGACACTGTGCCAGGCACTGAAGGTATAAAGAAAGGCAAAAGATAGTCCTTACTCCCAAGGAGCTCACAATCTACTGAGGGAAATAATGAACAACTATGTACAAACAAGACATAGATATACAGATTTAGATCATATGAAATTAGAGATAATCAAGAGCAAAGGCACTAGTATTATGGGGGATCAGGGAAGGCCTGTTACAAAAAGCGGCATCTTCGTTGGGATGCGGAGGAAGCCAGGGAGGTCAGGAGGAAAGAAGTCCAGGCATGGAGGACAGTCAGCGAAAATATCCTGAGCAAGGAGATGGAGTGTCTCATGCAGGACACAGCAAGGAAGTCAGTGTCACTGGATCTAAGAGCACGTGGGGGTGAGTCATGTATAAGAAGACAATTATAACGGGTTTTGAACATGAAACAGAGGACTTTGTACCTAAGCCTGGAGGTGAGAGGGAACCACTGGAACCTATTACACAAGAGGATAGCATCAGATCAACACTTTAAGACATTCGACGTCTGAACGAAGGATGGACTGGCCAAAGGGCTATCGTCTAGGTACAGTGGTCTGTCCCTTGTTGCCTCTACTTTCTCGCCTCACTCTCGCTTCCCTTGTAATCTGCCTTCTAACATCGCTCAAATGAAAGTGCTCTCTCCAAAGTCAGCACTGCACCATGTACTGCCAAATCCAACGGCCTCTTCTCCATCCGTACCCTTCTTGACCACCCTGCAGCATATGATACTGCTGACCACTGCATCCTGCTGGACACAGTCGGACCTGAGCTCTGTGACGCTCTCCCGCTGCCTGTCTGGCCACTCTATCTCAGTGTTATAGTACAATAAATGCTAGACCTGTAGCCAAGGCCCTCCATGCGAGTCCCAACTCTGCCAAGTCACAAAACTTCTCTGAATCTCAATTTCCTCATCTGCAAAATGAGGAGGCTGGACTAGATGCCTCTCAGGCCCCTTGTAGCTCTAATCACCCCCCAGTGGCCAGTGTGGTCAAGGACTCTGTCCAGCCTTCTCCTTACATTTTTTGTCTCCAGTGATCTCATCAACTCCCAAGGGTTCACCCAGCACTGATAAGCAGATGACTATCGGATCTACGTATCCAGCCCTAGTCTCTCTCTTGAGGAACACCAGGTGTGCGTCACCAAATGCCTACTAGACGTCCCACAGGCATTATATCTTTCCTCCAAACATTTCCCCCCTTCCTGACCTTTCTATGCTACTAAACACATCACCCTCCTTCTTGACATTCATGTTCACAACCTCAGAGCCATTCCCAACTCTTCCTTCTTTCTCTTTGTCACACCTAATCATTACCAAATCTTACTGACTCTTCCTCTATGATAGGAAATTATGGTGGGAGGTCTGTGAACTCCGATGGGAAAAAAAGGTGTCTCTAAATGAAACACAGTATTTCTCTCACTTATGAATATAGGCACAAAAATTATTCCGAGACAAGAGTCCATAAGCTGTACCAGACTGCCAGAGGAATTCCATAATAAAAAATTTAAAAGGCTAAGAACCCCTACTCTATAATGTATCTTGCATCCACATGCCCATCTCTCCAGTCACACAGCCACTACCATAGTTTAGACTCTACTCACCTTTCACCTGGACTACTCTAAGAGCCCAATTGGTCTCCCAATCTTCCAGTCTCTCCCCTCTCCAGTCAATACATCACTCATGCTAGAATAATATTCCTAAAGCACAGGTCTGCCCAGTCTTTCCCCTAATCAATAAATTCAAGAAGCTCAGTCTTGCTTCTAAGATAAAATACAAGGGAAAACATCTTTAACAATTAGAGTTAGCAAGAAGAAACAGAGTACAAAGAGTTACCAAGAAGTAATAATGATATAGAAAAGAAAAAAAAAGAATACCAACAAAGCAACTTAAAAGAAAAACAATTAGAGTTAGGACACAGTCTTCCCCTTCACTAGAAGTCTTTAATTAAAGGACAGATGAACACTTACTGAATATGCTGCAGGGGCCATTCTGGTGTAGGTTAGACTAAATGGTCCCTGAGGTCCCTTTAAACTCTTAAGTTTTCTGATTCTAAGTTAACTCTTAGGGACACAGCCTGGAATGATGGATAGAGCGCTAGACTTGGAATAGGAGAGATGGATTCAAATTTAGCCTCTGACACATCCTGACCCCACAAAGTCATTCAACCTTCCAACTCCCCATTCCTCATTTATAAAACTGGTATAAAATCACCTGTAGTACAGGCCCCGAAAAGATAATGATTATAAAGCACTTAGTAAACCCTCCAGTGCTATTTCAGAAGGGTCAGTTATGATTAGTTGCCCACTTGGGCCCTCTGTGACTAGTCTACCACATACATTTTTGCCCCTTCCTATCCTGGTGCCTTTGCTCAATTAGCTTTCCCTCACCTGACGTGCCATTCTGTTTCCACTCTGCTAAAACGAATATCCTCATTCCTTTAAAGTCCGATTCAAGACAATATCTTTCAAGAAACCTTCCCTGATCAATCTTACTCCATTCTGATGATTTCTTCACTCTGCACTTATGGAAGACAGTAGCACCATTTGGTAACATACCACAAATTGACACATTAGAGCTGAAATGGGCTCCATATATTATCTAGTTCAAGCTAGTCATTTTAGGTATGAGGACAGTGAGGCCCAGACACGTAGGTGGCTTTTCAGGTTCCAAAGATACCAGCTGCTCTGTAACTTTTCTTTCATTGTTTCAGAAATTTATGTACATATTATCTACATAATTCACTCACAAATGCTCTCAAGTAGAGACAACTTTCTCAGTTTCTTCTAAAGCTTCCACAGTACCTAACAAAGTGCTGAACATATAACAAGGGCTCAATAAATGATAAATGAACACATCTGAAGTAAACTCCCTTAAAAGTCAGATGTCCAAAAAGTTATTTTTGGTAGTAAAACTCTACACATGTGAAGTTACTGTTTCTCAAAAAAAAAAACTCACCAATTAAAAATCAGTCATTGCTTATCTTCCCATTTTCATTCCCTCATCCCCTAAAAGAGCTTCATGCTCTACAAAGCAAGTGCATCAGGGATAGGAGAAGATTTACTGGACCTGTTGGAAATTGAAGTTATACTCTTCAATGGTAAGAGAATTCTGCTTCTTCTCTTTCCCCTCTGCTACACCTAAGCAGGCCAATTTTCTTAAGAATGCAATTCTAATAGCACCAGGAATTGGCTTTAGACACAGACAATCAGAGACAAGATATACAGCCATCTGTTTTGGCAGGGATGATTTAGTTGGGATGATTTTTTTTAATGGGTTCTCAATTTCACCTGCAATGCAGGTCAGCACCTCCAAGGTCCTCAGCTGATACGTCTTCACCAGTTGCTGCTTTAACCTACAAGAACAAAGGATTAGTATGAGTGTATAGGATTTCATCTTTAGTGAAAGATTTTGTCCACAAATGAGGATCCACAATGTTCCCCCAAGATGACTATGTTCTAATCCAACTACAGCTATTATCCTCCTTCCCACAAGACTGAAGAATCCCACAGTCTATACATCAATCCTGAAAAAAGATAAGAGTCTTTGAAAAATGGAAAAGGTTACCAGGTAGAGGCTGTAAATCTTCTCTTTTGAAGAAGTGCCAGCATAGAATAAACACCCAACTAACCAGAGAAGTTTAAAAGCAATTCCACCTGACAGACCACAGTAGGTCTCTCCCAACATGAATCAGGTTCATAAATCCACATAATCAGTTTCAAATGTTTACACCTGAAAGGGAGTATAACTTAAAAGTGTGTGTTTGTCCTTCATTCTCCAAGAGGACCATGACATCAGGGAGATAATGACATGACTTGCAGTTGACTTTGATTTGAGTGAGAGAGGGCTGTGCAAGGTCTCCAGCCTCACTTGCTCCTCCAGAGCCATCTGAGTCCAGTGGCCAGATATTCATCAAGATGACTGGAGAAGGCTCAGGATGCAATGGGAGACCCTGGCCCTTTTTAGCCAAGGTTTTTTTTCAGGTTCTCATTTTGAGTGAGGTAAGGCCCATTCAGTGAATAATTCAGTGAATTAAGAAGTGAGTCAGTGATGTCCCCTTTAATAAAAAAAAATTCAAACTGGGAGGGAAGACCCTCAGAGTTGCTGGCCAAAAGAGAAACAGTTACTATTTACATTCACTCTGATCCAGGAGGGCCCAAAAAATAACCATTCAGTGGTGCTTGGGCAGAGACCTATTGTCCAATCCATAAGCTCCACAGTGAATTGGGTTTAAGGCTTGGTCTTGCTCCTACCACATATCTGTGTGGTTTCTTTACATTTAACACCTTGTCCTTTTAGGAAAAATTAAATATAATGAAGAGGCACCTCAAGTTCTCCAAACTACAAATGCCCTACAACTTATCATTGGCTATTTTTTTTTTGACCCAACTCATGCTTACACAGGCCTAAAACTATTCACCAATGTGAAATACATCATTTGACCTAAGATTTACCTAAAAAACAACCTGAAATTAATCTCCAAATGTCCAAAACCATCATCTCAATTCCTTTTATTTGGCTAAATTTTTTTCTGCAGAAGGAAACATCTGAATTAAACAAATTTAGTTTAACCACACTAAAGTTCTACTTGGAGCCATAATGTTGACTGCTTTTCATCTCCTTGTTACACTAATTTCCTCCCCCCCCGAAAAAAAATAAAGAAATAAAAAATAAAAAAACAAAAACACCACCCTCCTGTCATTATAAAATATTTATATTTTCAAAGAGAACCATTTTGTGCAATACTTAAAGGTTGACAAAATGCCGAGTTTACACAGAAATCGATGAACTTTGACCAATACAGCTCTCCATTCCTTGATAACTGGCACCCAGCAATAAAAAGAAAGGCCGGGTGACAAATTTAAAAGGACGTCATTAGTGTCTGAGAAATCCTAAAGGAATGAGACAAAAAAGTCATTTAGTTCTAAATGCCAATTTCATCATTTAAGAACTGGCATTGATTAGTCCTCCTTTCAGCTGATTACTTTGTTGTCTTCAAATAGGGGAAGCTTTAGCAGTCATCAAAACTGCTTGGTACTGGCTAAGAAATAGGGAGGTGGATCAGTGGAATAGGTTAAATATGCAAGACACAGTAGTCAATGACTATAGTAATCTAGTATTTGATAAACCCAAAGACCCCAGCTTCTGGGATAAGAACCCACTCTTTGAAAAAAACTGCTGGGAAAACTGGAAAAGAGTATGACAGAAACTAGGCATAGACCCAAATCTCACACCATATACCAAAATAAAGTCAAAATGGGTTCAGGACTTAGATATAAAGGCTGATACCATAAGTAAACTGGGAGAACAAGGAATAGTTTACCTATCAGATCTATGGAGAACAGAAGAATTCATGACCAAACAGGAGATAGAGAACATTATGAAAAGCAAAATGGATAATTTTGATTACATTAAATTGAAAAGTTTTTGCACAAAGCCAATGCAACTAAGATTAGAAGGAAGGTAGAAAATTGGGAAAGAATTTTTACAACCAGTCTTTCTGAGAAAGGCCTCAGTTCTAAAATATATAGAGAATTAAGACAAATTTATAAGAGCCATTCCCCAATTGATAAATGGTCAAAGGATATGAACAGGCAGTTCTCAGATGAAGAAATTAAAGCCATCTATAGTCATATGAAAAAATGCTCTAAATCATTATTGATTAGAGAAATGCAAATCAAAACAACTCTGAGGTACCACATCACACCTATCAGATTGGACAACATGACAAAACAGGAAAATGATAAATGTTGGAGAGGATGTGGGAAAATTGGAACGCTAATACATTGTTGGTGGAGTTGTGAAATGATCCAACCATTCTGGAGAACAATTTGGAACCATGCCCAAAGGGCTACAAAAATGTGCATACCCTCTGATCCAGCAATAGCACTTCTAGGGCTATATCCCAAAGAGATCAAACAAATGGGAAAAGGACCCACATGTACAAAAATATTCATAGCAGCTCTGGTTTGTGGTGGCAAAGAATTGGAAATTGAGAGGATGCCCATCAATTGGGGAATGGCTGAGCAAGTTGTGGTATATGAATGTAATGGAATACTATTGTTCTATAAGAAATGATGAACAGGCTGACTTCAGAAAAACCTGGAAAGACTTATATGGTCTGATGCTGAGTGAAGTGAGCAGAACCCAGAGGACTTTGTATACAATAGCAGCCACGTTATGCAATGACTAAGAATGTTAAACTGAACCCTTCTCAGCATTACGAGGATCTAAGACATCTCCAAAGGCCTCGGGATGGAAAATGCTGTCCACATCCAAAGAAAGAACTATGGAAGTCGAATCGCTCTCACTTATTTTTACCTTAAGTTGAATTTTGTTTCATCTTTCTGATGGTTCCTCGTATTGGTTTTAATTTTTACTTACAACTTCACTAATGTGAAAATATGTTTTATGGGTATGTAAATGTAAAGCCTATGTCAGATTGTGTGCCGTCTTGGGGATGGGGGGGAGAAAAAGGGAGAAAAAATTTTCAACTCAAAAGCATATGGAAAAAAAAATTACAAAAATAAAATAAAATAAAATTTTTTTAAAAAACAGAAAAAAACAAATAGGGGAAGCTTTTATTATAAGGTAGCATTAACCTAAAATACTAGCACAGAAATGACTTTTTAATAATCCCTACATCAAAAGCTTTTTAAGTGAAGCATTAAATCCAGTTGGAAGGAGGTAATTAATTATGTGCCTCCAGAAATGAACTCTTAGTCATTTTGGAATTTGGAAACAATATTTCCTATGTTAAGCAACATTCAGTCTACACACTAACAAATTTAAACAGTTGTGCTGTTATTTAAAGCTGCAAAAAGGAACAAACACAATCACACACATTGTAATAGTAGATTGTTGGGATGGTTTTTTATTTGGGGGGATCTGAATAAGGTGAATTTAAAAAGACTAAAAGCCAAAGGATTTCCTCATTCATTAGTATTAATTGAGCATGTTCTAGTGCTAAGTAAGTGGTAGAAAGCTAAAACTGAAAAAAATTCAAATCAAACTCATCCTACTAAATGAAAAAGTTCAGATATAAAAAAATGTAACGTAATATACATTAGAAAAAAGCATAAAAGGGGACATAAGTTGAACAATTTTGTGACTGCCTTATTAAGCTTAACGCATATCTTTAAAAACACACATACAACTATGTGATAGAAGCTCAGTTCCTTATACCATCTTCTTCCCTATTCTTGGCATCTTGCAATGTTCATTTATTAATGACTGTTAAATCGACAAAAAAAATTTAATGAAAAGTTCACATGTTAAGTTAGATCTTTTTTTTAAAAGGTAGCAAAACAAACAGTTGATGATTTCTCTAGAATCTCACAGTATTGACTTCTGCAACTTTTCAGTAGTGGTAGGCTATAGAAAGTTACAACAAGTGAACTCTGATAACAGCTGCTGAGACAGAATAGTTTCTTCCCCACCAACCTCAGGAAACTCAAAGTAAACAGACAAGGATCTTGGATGGGACCTTTTGACTAAGTCTAAGTTTTACAGAACAAATCCTTTTATTAAGGGGATTTGCTTTGTGAAGTTTGGATTTAGTCAATGGGCCCCACTTGATGACCTAGAGAACCACATGTGGCCTCGAGGTCAAAGGTTGTTTCCCACCCCTGGACAAAGGTTTTTCTTAAAAATGTCTTCTAGAGATATACATTACTCAAGTAGAACTATCTCTCTAGTAGAACTTAAACAGCTGTCATTTCAAAGTAGTTTTCCTCTAGTAAACTGCTAAAGACAAATCCATTAAGATGGACGTCTGTTAACTATCACACTAAGGCAACCAACTTCTTTTTTATTAACCTATTAGGATTATTTTAATGTATTAAAATGTTGTCTAGCTTTTATCCTAGATATTGCCTAGTTCTAACCCACACCATTTCCTTTGTAAACGGAAATCAATCAGACATACTAAAAATCATCAAGCTTGTGCTTAAAGACTCACTTGTCTCAATTTTTCCCGCCTTATTGAATGGCTACTTTCAGGTTTTTTGGCCAGAATTATGATTTTATCAGGGTAGGGATGCCCCACTATAAAAATAAGAACAGCTTCTGGGTTGGGTTTTTTTTTCAACTGGCTTTCTCTTTCACTTGCCACCAAGGACCCTGCAAGGTCCTCAGGTAATATGTCACCAATTGCTGTTTTAGCCTAACCTTACTCTTGGTGAGGAAACTTCTCTTCCCAATACAGACTAGCAAATATTCTGAAGTTTATAAACCCCAACAGCTGTTTGGATTACTGCACAGTCAAATGACTTGCTCAGCATGCCAGAACTTGAACCCAGGTCTTCTCTGACTTTAAGGCTGGCTCTCTATACACTACTTTTTGCTTCCTCTTACTCCATGCTGTAAAAAGGGAGCCAAAGGAGAGTCTCTCATTATGCTGAAAAGGGGCTTTCAAAGGACCTGCTTCACCAGGGGGGCTGCAAACAAGCAATCCAAGTCCACCCTGGAGCTGTGGCAATTGATATGCCCCTTACAAAGCAAACTTAGAACAAGGAATAGTAAGTGTTCTTGCAGTGATGACTTAAGCCTTTCATAGTACTCCATCCCCACCTTCAAAATACCTTGTCTTTATTTTGTATGTCTGTATATGTGGTTTGTGGTTTCCCCAGAGAGAATGTAAGCTCCTTGAGGGCAGGAACTGTTTCACTTTTGGTTCTGTATCCCCAGGCCCAAGCACAATGCTTGACACACAGCACGCACTCAATAAATGCTTGCTGACTGAAAGCATCACAGCATGCTATATCTGAAAGAAACCTTGCAATTCAATCCCAGTCATTCTAGAGATTAGAAAACAGGCGCCTGGAATGATTAAGGGCCTTCCCCACAAAGTCATCCAGCTAGGTGGGTGAACTCTTTCCACAGAGCTTTCTAGCTCACCTGAGCTCAGCATCCAAATTTTCATATCCTATCCCCCATTTTAAGAAAAATCACCAAAAATTAAGAAACTTATTTTGTTTCTAAGAATAAGCCCTTTTATGTATACTTTCTTGCCTGAAATACACTGTACAAAGGATCATTATTTATTCATTTTCTGGAAGCAAAACAATTTGGTTGCTACTTTCCTCTCCAACTCTCCTACAATACATCCGGTGTCACAGGCAAGTACACAGTATGACTCCTTTATCTTTAAGTTCAAGCAACTTCTTGCAAATTGCCACTCTGTGCCCTTTTAATTGGGCTGCTCTTTGGTCTGCCACAAGGCAGTGTCACCATAGTATGTTCATCTCTTTTCCAGATTTAACGTCATAAAAGGCCTCCACATTTTACAGAAATAAATGTGAGCATAATGAGAAGCAATTTTAATCAACTACATTTCAAATTAAAATAAACCACGACACCAGTAAGATTCTGTAATGCTTAATAAACAAAAAGAAGTAAACTAATAGATTCAAAAGACAAATGAGACTGTTGTCAAACTTTGTATTAAGTCTTGAGAATAAATCAACTGTAAAAACAAGAAATGTCTGTCCTTGTGCATTTAGGTTGTTCACAGCATCAGGTAACATGGTCTCAAACACCTTAAGAAAAATTCAAAATTATTACAGGCCTATGTCCAATGAGATGAATTAGGTATCAGATTTCAACCATAACTGAACTTTCCTCATTTTGGACAGTAAGTCTCTTTTCATATAAAAGCCAAGAGTTAATGAACTCCTTTCCTTTAACATTTCACATTTTACAGATGGGAGGATAGAGATAACTGATGAAAAGGTAAGCCTCCAAATGTATGTCTGCCACCAACTCTTCTAAAAACCAGGAATCCTATTGTCCTTAAATAAAATGTCATTAATAAATATGTTCAAAACAAACATGAAACTTCCAAGTCTTCAATTCAATAAACACTTAATGGCCTAATATGTACAGATCATTGTGCTACGGTGCTGAGGGAAATACTCAAGAGAATTTCCAATCTATCAGACTCTATGGTAGAGTCTGATATGGTGAACGACTGTTCACTTACCAGGGGGGGTCCTCCCAGGAAAATGGTACCTTGCTTGGCAACAATAATACTTTCATCAGCCATTGCAGGAACATAAGCTCCTCCTGCTGTACAGGATCCCATCACCACTGCTATCTGGAATCCAAACACACACAAAATACAAGCTGCAGAATCATAACACATGGGCCTGAAAGGTAAATCAAAAGGCAGAATGGTGTCATCAGGACTGATGATCTGAAGACCCTAATTCTATCTCCACATTCGTTGCTACAACCAAAATAAGCTACTGATCAGTCTCTGTACCTCAATTTTAAAATGGGGACATTTTCATCCCTTACCTGAGAGGGTATAATGGTAGTAAAGAGATTTAAATATCTGGCCTGTCTTAAGGTATGCAAAGTTGACATGGACAAAAACTGGTCACTTTGAAGTATCATTATTTTAAAAGGAAAGATAATAATTTAGGATAGGTGTTAGGACCTTTTTTCATAAAGAACTGAAATACATTATTTACCTAAAAGGCCTTAGGTTGCATGCTCAATTAAAGGGAAATGGGAGGTTGTAGGGGGTGGAGGAGGAGGTCTGAAATGTAGGCTCCCCTGCAACACCACTCTGCAGCAAGTGAGTTATACACAGGCCATAATAGATGGTCCTAGGCTAGAGTCAAAGGTGTGGTACACTAGTGGGTGTATATGATAATGATTGGCTAGAGAAGGGGAATATTTAAGTTAAACTGTGAATTTGAGGTAATTTGGGGGCAAAATGCTTTGACTAGTTAAAGATGAATATAAATATTTCAGAGAAATATGGAAAGACTTTAGTGAATTAACACAGAGTGAAGAAAACACAAAACACAGCCAAAATAACAATAAACAAAATAAAAGTAAAGTCAACATAGGGAGGCAGCAAACCTTTGGTCAACAATAGTTGCTTGTATCATGTTGTCAAAATTAAAAGATATAGCCCTGATTCCTGTCAAAGACAGGTATAACAAACCAGCTGTTTTTTAGGGAATGTATTTGGAAAAGTGTCTGGTTTGAGTGTTTTCTGGGAAATGTCAATTGTTATTTTTTTAAAGAATGGTTTGGCTAAAGGGTCTAGTTATCTTAAAAGCAAACTAAAACTAGTAGCAGAGGTTATGGTAGTAATGCAGCCATACTGAGAGGACTAACAAAATGAAATTTGCAAATGTTTTGTGTTCTTTTGAATAAGACACACTATAAATACAAAATTATTATTATTATATAAAACTTCTTGTTTCATTTAGTGTAGCACGAAGAATAGATGAATGGCTGGCTAACTAATAATAAGCACAAGGTAGAAATTAATAATATGATGAATCACCTAGCCACAGTAGGCAAAATATATCACAGCTATCAAAAAAAAAACCCATAGGAAAAACTTTTTTTTGTTATTATGCCCATTATTTTTCCTTAGAGGCATACAAATATCTGCTAAAGAGAGATTACAAAAGGAAACCACAATGGTAATACTATTCCAAATATGAAAAGTAAAAAATAGCATTTTCAGTGGGAGAAGTTAACAGGAAGATTTTTCCCCAGATAAGAAAAGTTATCATAAATGAGAGTAAAGGTGCCTCTCCAATTTATTTTAATGTGTATAAAATAAAATTGTGTGTTTAAATGTACCTTGGTACCTGCAAGACATTTCAGTTAAGGAAAAAAATGGAGATCACTAGAATTAAGGTACAAAATTTCATGCTATCAACCTGTTCTCCATACTAGAATACTAGGTTCAGCTCAAAATATTCCACTACCCAAAAGAAGGAAAACTTTGGAAATCTGGACAAGAACTACCCTAATGATGTAAGAGGCTAAAAGGGAATGATTTATGCGGGGGGGGGGGGGGGGGGGGGGAGATGAAAAGAACTAAGTACCACAGCACAGCTAATGACAACTGAAAGAAGTGAAAAAGAGAAAAGAAAAAACTGTCACCAAGTTTTCAAAAGTGAGAGAAAAACAAGAGTGGGATAATCTGGCAAAGAAATAAGACTAAAAAGGGGAAAAAAAGGAAGCTAAATGCTTCCTCAGGGAAAAACCTGTAATATCTGTCATATAGTAGAAAAGTCACACAAATGAAAAGTGGAAAAATTGCTAGAATATATATTTCAGGATATATATTAAACCACTTTGCTAAAGCTACATCAAATATCCCAGAAGACACATTTTTTCTCTAATCCCCACAATCCTAAAGTGTTTATGTCTATGTAGTCAAAGTAATCTCTTCTGCTTTGACATCAGACAAAATAAAAACACCCAATCATTCATACAGAAGCTAAAGAACAGAAATGTCACTCCATAACTGATGAAAACTAAGCAACTTAATAAAAATATACACCCAAATACCCCCAGAGATGACTGGGAACAAGCTCTGTTTACAAGCATTTCAAGGAAAAATTCTGAGTATATTTGTAAGGTAGAAACTGTTTATACATTCAAAAGATAAAAATTATGCCACATATTTACCTGTCAGTCAATCATATATTTACCTAAATCACAAATGGGATTTTATACTAGCCCAGAAACATGGAAGAGAAAAAAATACCACAATGATTTATTCAATTCAATAAATATTTATTAAGTACGTATTAACATCCAAAGAACTCCTGCTGCAAATTTCTTCTCCTCCCTGCTCCCCAAAATACCACAAATGAAGCAACAGGACCATGAAAGTAAAAATTCCCTAACGTTTTCATGAGTAAAGCAACAGATATCATTCTCAGCCAGTATCCAAGCCCAATTATCTTTCCATCAACATACCTCCTAATGTGACAATATAGCATATACACACATACAGATAATATCCATGTTATTTTTGATCTCTTTAAAAATGATTTACGTTTGTGTGAGAGGAAGAAAGGGAGAAAGGGAGGAAATGAGGGGGGGAGGGAAGAAGGAGGAGTGTTTTTAATTGGCTGTTATATTCCTGAAATTTGTCATGATATCATTTCATAGGCCTCTCACCCTAAGGTAAAAGCCACTTGCAAGGTTAATAAATGAGGCCCCATCTCTATGCAGTTTATGGCAAGTTTGCAATGTCACCCATAGGCTGGTCCAGCTTCCTTTTTCAGTTCCCTAACTGTAGTGCCCAAAGAATTCGAAGTATAAATTCGAATAAAGGAGGTTAAAGTCAGCCTCCACACCAATTAAAACATTTGAAAGCCCAAAGTAGAGACTAAGAAGTACAAAACAGAAAAGAACACCTCAAAAGCAGGCTTCCTCTAATACAAAAGCAAAAAGACCAAGCTGTTGGGCATGCTACAGGCCACCTTACGGCTATTAAAAGGAAAGACGAGAAGAAATAAAGATTTCACTCAATTCAACAACTTATTAAGCATCTACTACATAGCAAGGTACTGAGTTATACGTAGCAGATACAAAAATTAAACTGTCCCTACCATAAAAAAGCTTACTTTTTAATACAACATGTATAAGAAGGAGTAAATACCAAATATGTGTAAAATAATTAACACGTAGTCATTTCAAGAGGGAAAGAACACAATACCTACAGGATCAAGAGTGGGTGGCACCACAGCTGTGAATGAACCAAAGTCAAGCCGACAGTGCATTCTGCCACATGAAATACCACCAGTGCAACGGCATGAATGTGGGAGGTAGAACGTGGGAGAGATTATATCTAGAGAACAGCTAATAAGTGCAGTTTGACTAGAATGGAGAGTGCATAAGGATAATATTAAAATTCTCTTTTGTTTCAATAGAGCAAGGGTGTAAGAGGGAGAGAAAACAGATTTGTTAATTTTTTTTTTAATTAAAAAGGTGGTAGAAGGATACTGGAGATATGAAATGTTTCATAGTTTTTCCAAATAAGGTCACTATATTGTTAGTTTTGCTTAATTATTGTACTTCATTACAACATGTCTCAGAGAATGAGAGTAATCTGTAAATGTTTGTAAAAACAAAACACAGCAATAAAATTTTAAAAAAAGAAAAGATAAGCCTAGAAAGGTGGGCAGGAGCCGGATTGTGGCAGGCTTTAAATGAGTAGTTTGTACTTTATCAAAGAAGCAATAGGAAGTCACTAAAGCTTCCTGAGTAGGAGACTATCATGGTCAGATCTATGTTTCAGTAATATCAATACAGCAGCTGTATAGATCATGGCTGTGAATGAAGAGATGATCCTGGAAGTAAGGAAACCAATTAGGAGGCTGTTACAATAATCTAAATCACAGGCAATGAGGGCTCAGGATACAGACTGTGTAAGTAGAAAGAAGGGAACAGATGGGAAAAGTGCTACAGAAGTAGAATCAATAAGACTTGGCAAATGATTAACATGGGGACAATGAGGGCAAAGGAACACTCCAAGGTTGCAAATCTAAGTGACTAAAAAGATGATGAGACTCATCAGAAACAAGGAAGTTTGGAGGAATGACAGGTTTTTCAGGAAATATAATGATTTCTATTTTGGATATGTTGAGTTTAGGATGTCTAAGGGGCATCCAGGTGGAAATGTCTCACATTCAGTTGTTAAAATGGGACTGGCATTCAGGAGAAAGAATAGGGCTAGAAATTTGGGAGCCATCTGCATAGAGATGATAATTGAACCTGTGGAAGCTGATAAATTTACTCAGGGAGGAAGTACAGAGAAAGAAGAAAAGACACAGGACAATTTAGAAGTGCCTTCGCAGGCTGGAGGAGAAAGAAGATGATCCAACAATGAAGGTTAAGAGGGGAAACAGGTAGGAGGACAGCAGCACAGAAGTCAAGAAGTCTAAGAAGAAGAGACGATCAGTGTCAGAAGCTGAAGAGTGGTCAAGCAGAATGAGGACTGAGAAAAAAGCCACCGGATTCAGCAGCTAAGAGGTAGTTAGTAACCTTGAAGAGGGAAGTATGTCAAACAATGGAGTCACCAAGTCAGAGTGCAAGGTACTGAGAACCAACTGGGAAATGAGAAAACAGGTAATAAGTATAGACTCTCCTAAGAAAAGCTGTGAAATGGAGAAAAGATACATAACAAGATGACAGCTTGACAAAAGTATAAACATACATAAACAAGCCATAGAAGAGTAACTCCCCACCTGTTTATTTGTATGGCATAGTATTAAATAATCAACCTCATTGTAGAAATAATTGGGTGAAATTAACAAATTTCCTCAGAAATCACAGTTTCCCTCATTAGTCTCAGTATTGCCTCTGTTGAGCAGGGCCATTTTATTCACATGGTGTCTAGTGAGCCTGGAGTGCACCATCACACAGTACTCAGGGATCCTCTCCTCATGCAACGAGAGCAAATGATCTATACGAGTACTGAAACAAAAAAAAAAAGGAAAGATATGGAAGGGCAAGGATTCATCTATATAATTCATAGGTGGTATCATTCATCACCTACTCCAAAAGGAGTCAGACAATGAAGTTCTGGACTGTAAGAGAAAACAGAACTGGAGATGGGAAGTATTTCCAGGTTTTTGACTCCTCCATGAAAACAATATGATATAAAATAAAATGTATGAAAGCTATATCTGGAAAAGGTCTTTTAAAAAACATTCCATTATCATCCAGATCTAACTGCTTACAAAACACATGCTTGTTTTGTTTGCATTATGAAAACATAGGCTATGTTATAGGATAGTCTCCAATGGAAAAAGAATCTCAGGCTGGAAATCAAAAGAGTTTTTTCTCCAACCCTCCTCAATTTTTCCATTTGAAAAAATGGAGACAAACAGTCATTCAAAAGAATAACAATGAAGAGGTAAATGAGAGGAAAGGAACTCTGAGCACCTGGGGAAAGGTACCACAAAAGATGAGTTACTTAAGATCCAATATCCTACTCAAATAAACTGTAGCTAGGAAGAAAGATTTTCAACTGACCATTCAATAATCCACCACAAAAAAAAAACTGTAAACTACCAAATAAGTATAAATCAGTAGCTGTTAAGTTTTTATTGATACTACTATACCAGTTGACCAACAACTACTAGTTCAATACCTTTGATTATCTGTGCTAGAGGGAATTATATCAATTGGATAATTAAATCCTACATGTGATGCTGAGTACATTTTTGACATAGTTTTGAGCTTCTCAATCTTATACTTTGAAATTTTCAATTTTCTTGCAAATATAAAATTAGTCTGATTTCGCTGCCATTTCTTCTAGCCTCTGACAAATATAAAATATTTCTTTAAATGAGCAGCAAAAAATATTTAAAACTAAAAGGAATGTATAACTAGACCTTGGGAAAATGGCAGTGGGCCAGAAGTATGATATAAAACAGTTTCAAAAAGGATGAAGTTAAAATGGCGCAAACATTTCAATCATAATAACCTGATGTGCTCTGTTCTACAAGAGGCTCTAAGAGAATAAAATGCTGATATCAAACTGCCACTTGTTTCTTTTTTAAAAAGACAAAACACTTGGTATAGGCAAGGAGAAAATCTCATCTTACTACCTGTTTCTGGCTACACTGAGAATGCTTGGTTTAATCTTTTAAGAAAAAATAATACTCTAAGAGTAAAAAAATCTATTTGTAGAGGTCACAGTTAGGCAGCTAGATGGCTAAGGAGATATAAAGCACTGGGCCTAGAGTCAAGAAGACTTGTTCAAATCTGGCCTCAGATACTTACTAGCTGTGTGACCTTGAGCAAGTCTGTTGGGCAAATTTCTGTTTGCCTTAATGCACTGGAGAAAGAAATGGCTAACTACTCCAGTATCTTTGCCAAGAAAACCCCAGACATTATGGTCCACAGGGTCACAAAGAGTCAGACATGACTAAATGACTAAACAGCAAGATATCACAGTTGACACATAGGTAACTAACTATATTTGGCTAAGCTTTGAAATAATTTTAGTTTGGGGCTTTTGTTTATTGGCATATGTAATTAGACATGAATATAATCAGCCATGGACAGTGAAAGGCTAAGAAAATTATGCAGAACAACAGGAAATGGATTTCAAAGCCACTTTTCAAATTACAGAAATAACAGGGTCTGGCTGTGGATGGAGTACACCTAACAAGGCATAGGAAATATATATTTTCCTGGACTTTTGCAAATCTACTAGAGAGCCTTAAAACTAAAAAGTGACATAAAAGAAGAAAACTGTCTCCCTATGTCCCAACCTTCCCATTGACCACCTATGTGTCCTTGGGCAAGCCACTTAAATTCTCTGGGCCTCAATTCTGTCATTTATAAAACAATGTACCTCAAAATATATGAACCTATGACCCCACCAAGCTAGATCCTATAGATGACAGCAACTATAAGAGGAAAAATAGTAACTGGGAGACAAAATTAAAGAAAGGAGCCAGCAATAAACCCAAAGACTTAGATGTCTGTAAAATAACAGGAAGAGGAACACAAAACTGTAAAGTGTTTTAGATACTTTCTTCACAACAACTCTGTAACACAGTTATTACAACAGTGGTGAACCCACTTTACAGATGAAAAAACAGAGGCTCTGTCCCTAGTCACAGAGTCAGTGTGTCTGAGGTGCGTCTAAGGCAGGAATTGAGCCCAAGACTGACTTCAAGAAAACCATGCTCCAAACTGAGGCCTAGAAGAACTACTTCCGCCATTAAAAGGCCAAAGCTCATTTGTGGACAAAAAAAGCTCTCAGTGACATTCCAAAACACAGTGTTTTAAGTTCTATCTTAAAATCTGAGGTAGATTAATTCTGTCAGTCAACTAGTTGGACTGTTCAATCAATAAGCATTTGCTATGTGCCAAGCTGTATACTGGGCACACAAGTTTTGGACATGTTGACTTTAATATGTCTATGAGACATTCAGTATGAGTTACCCAATAGGCAGTTGGAGATGCAAGACTGGAGGTCAAAAAAGAAGTGAGGTCTAGATAAAGAGATCTAAGAATCATTGCTGTAGAGAAGATCACTGAATCCATGGGGAACTGATGAATTCACTAAGAGAAAGGGTATAGAAAAAGAAGAGATAACACGACCCAGACCAGAGCCTTGGCAAACACTCACAGCTAGTAGGCTCAACTGAGATGAAGATCCAGAAAAGAGAGACAGAGAAGGAGCAGTCAGAGAGGTAGGAGGAGAACCAGGAGAGAGTGGTGTCCTGAAAACCTCGAGAAAAGAGAATATCAATGAGGAGAAGGTGATCAAGAATGTCAAAGGCTGAAAAGAAGTCAAGGAGAACTGAGAAAAGATTATTAGACTGGAAAAGAGATCACTGGTAACTTCGGAGAGAACAATTTCAATTGAAGAGCTAGAAGGGACCTCAGAAGCCATCAAGTACAGCTCCTTTGTTTTACAGATAAGGCCTAAGAAGTCAAGATCACACAGGGCATAAGCACCAGAGGTGGGGTTTGAACAACCCCTGAGACCCCAGAGTCAGTGCTCTTTCCATTGTACCACATTTTAGTTCAATACTTACAAGGGGGAAAATGCTTGGGAGCTTTATACAGCTTACACTGACAATAAATACTTATTGACCTGAGGGACTAAAAATAATATGAAATATAATACATAGTCTCTCTAAGCTCAAGTCTCACATTAGCAAAGTCATATGAAGCACAAAATGTTAACTTTTCCAAGAAGCAATAGAGAGTTGAAACTCAGTACCTTTAGATTTTTAAATTTTTTAATTGCTCTTCTTTTTACCCCACTTTCAGTTCTAAATATATCCTTTCCCCCTCTTCTATTGAGAGAGCCATCCCCTTCTAATAAGGAATTTTAAAAAACAGGGAAAAAGCAGTTTTAGTGAAGCTAACCAACATTAGTATCTGAAAATGTTTTGTGACAGTATCTGACCTCTCCCGTAACTACCCACAGTCCTCTCCAATTGGTAACAAAAAGAAAGAGGTTTGGCATTACATTTTACTTGAGGGGAAAATGCCAGATCACTATTAAGCACTACTTGTCAAACAGGTTAACAAATTGTGTTATATAAATGCAATGGAACATTACTGAGAAATAAGAAATAACAAAAAAATTAGGAAATCAAAGAAACCTGGAAGTATCTGACAAAAATGATTCAGAATGAATGAGTAAAACCAGGGGAACAACTTACACAATGACCACAATTATGTCAAAGAAAACAAGTCTGAAAGATTTTAGTTAATAATGAAGCATGCCTCCCACTTCTCATCAGAGACATGATGGAGAATGAATGCAGAATGAGACACTCATTTTCCAACATGGACAGGATACTGATTTTTTTTGTTTGACTACATTTATTACAGTGGAGAGCTTCTACAGGGTTGGGGGGAAGCAGACAGGAATAATCAGTGAGTAGCAGAGATTAAAAAAAATCAATAAAATATTTTTAAATGTACAAAAGAAACCAAAAGTTTCAGAAGGGTACACATATAAGGCAATTCTGTTATTACCCTGTTAAATTAATACATACTTTTAAAAAACATACTCTATATAATAGTTCACAGTTTTACATACAATTCTTTTGTTCTTTACATGTTGAAAAGTTTGTTTATGATCATTAAGTTCATAATAAAAATAAGAAAATTACCTGTGAAATATTTCTAGAAGACATAATTGCTTGATTATAGAATGAGCGACCAAAGTGATCTCGATCTGGAAATACTTCTGCTTGTCGAGGTAAGTTTGCACCTCCCGAATCAACTAAAGATATAAGAGCATTGCAACAATATATTACAAAGATTACACATTATGATCAAGTGGGATTTATACCAGGATGTAGATATGGTTTAACATAAGTAAAACTATTAAAATGTAATTGATTATATCAATAATAAAAGTTTTTTTAAATCATACGATTATATCAATAGATGCAGAAAAAGTTTTTGATAAAGCACAATACTCATTTCTATTAAAAAACACTCACAAGTATTGATATAAATAGATCTTTTCTTAAATTGATTTAAAAAATCTATCTAAAACCATCAGCAAGCATTGTTTAATGGGGAAAAGCTAAAAGCCTTCTCAGTAAGATTAAGTGTGAAACAAGGATGCCACTGTCATCATTATTATTCAAGATTGTATTGGAAATCCTAGCAACAAAAGAAGAAAAAGAAATAGAAGGAATCAGAATAGGGGATGAGGTAATAAAACTCTTTTCGCAGATGATATGATTATATACTTGGAAAACACCACTCAACTAAAAATTAGTTGAAACAATTAATAATTTTAGCAAAGTAGCAGGATATAAAGTAAATCTACATAAATCATCAGCATTCCCACATATCACAAACAAAACCCTGTAAGAAGAGGTAGTTGGAGGTATCCCATTCAAAATAACTCTAGATAGTATAAAATACTTGGGAGTATACCTGCCAAAACAAACCCAGAAACTATATAAACAAAATTATTTTTTAAAAAAACACTTTTATACAAATAAAATCAGATTTAAATAACTGGAGAAATATTAATTGTTCATGGGTAGTCAGGGCCAATAAAAAAAAATGACAATTTTACCTCAACTAATTTATATATTCAAAGCCATCCCAATTAACCAAAACATTACTTTACTGAATTAGAAAAAAATAATAACACAATTCATTTGGAAGACAAAAAAATCAAGAACATCAAAGGAGCTAATGAAAAAACTGTAAAGGAAGGCGGTTTAGCAGATTTAAACTATATTATAAGGCAATAATTATCAAAACTATCTGGTACTGGCTAAGAAACAGAAATGTAGATAAATGGAACAGAGTAGACATACAATTTACAGTAGAAAATAAATATAGTAACCTGTATTCGACAAGTGTAAAGACTTAATATTTTGGCATAAGAATTCATTATTTGGTAAAAGTCATTGGGAAAACTGGAAAGTAGTACGGCAGAAACTGGGCATAGGTCAATATCTTACCCCATTTACCAAGATAACGTCAAAATGGATACATGACTTAGATAGAGAGAGAGAGATTACAAGAAAATTTGAAGAACATGAACATCTTACTTGCCAAACTTATGGGCAGGCAAACAATTTATGAATAAACAAGAGATAGAGATCAGAGTGAGATGTGAAATAGATAATTTCAACTACATTAAATTAAAAAGGATTTATAAAAAATAAAACAAATGTAGCCAAGATCAGAAGGAAAGCAGAAAATTGGGGGAAATTCTTTACAGACAGTTTCTTAGATAAAGGTCTCATATACCAAATATATAAAGAACTCTGTAAAATCTATAAGAATATAAGTCATTCTCCAAATGATAAATAAATACGGAAAGAAATAAGAGAAACATCCCTCCAGCAAGAAAACAGCTACATATACAGAGAACTGTTTAAGACATTAACATCACTTATCACCGGCACTCAAATCCCTCCATAATCTGAACCTCATCTACCTTCCAGCCAATCTGAAACTACTTGTCTTCCCAAATTCTTTTCTTCAGTGCCTGTTTCCACCTCTGGATTTTTGTTCATGCCAATCCCACCTAGAAAGTCATTTCCTTCCATTACCCATTCATCCTTCATGATCCAGCTCAAATCCCAACCAATACATCATCCTAAATACCCCATCCCAAGTTGATCTCTTCCCCCTCTGAATTGTTAAAGCACTTTTTGTCAGAATGAATCATCTGTCAATTGGTTTTTTTTACCTCTTTAACTGTTATGAATTATTAAATATTTTATTTCACTATTCACACACCCATATATTGTGTCTCCACCTTCATTGCAAGCTCTAAGAGGGCAAAGTCTATAGTCTACAAGTCTCTGTAATCCCCTACAGTACCCAGCATGAAGGTGCTTAGTAAATATTGGTTGATTTATTTTGATGTTTCAATTTGTAGGGAGAAAAAATGAAAAATGAGAATAGAATAACAAATTCTACTTGTACAAAGGAAAAAAATTCAAATGTTTAATATCCATGTAAATATATATTTGAACCACCTATGTAAATGAATAAAGACAAAATAAAAATAACTTTGTGCAACAACATGTTCAAGCAAGGCATAAAACAGGGAAATATGTGCTCACCCATGGTATTACACAGACTCAGAGAATTTCAGGATTGGAAAAAATCCACAGTGGCCATCTAGCCCAACCCATACCCAAAAAAAGAATCCTTATTACAATATAACCAGCAAGTCTTCATCCACTCTTTGTTTCAAGATCTCCAATGACAAAGAATTCATTACTGTCAAGACTGCCTACTCCACATTTGGATAACCCCAAACATTAGGAAATTTTTCCTGACATCCAGTCTCAATCTGCCTCTTTCCAGCTTCCACTCCCAGCTTTTAATTGTTCCTAGTTCTACCTTCTAAGGACAAACAGAACAAATCTAATCCTTCTTCCACATTATAATTCTTTTTTTTTTTTTCGGCTAGGCAATGGGGTTAAGTGACTTGCCCAGGGTCACACAGCTAGTATGCGTTATGTGTCTGAGGTCGGATTTGAACTCAGGTCCTCCTGAATCCAGGGCCGGTGCTCTATCCACTGCGCCATCTAGCTGCCCCCCACATTATAATTCTTCAGAAACATGAAGACAGTTATCATGTCCCCCTGAGCCTTCTCTTCTCCAAGCTAAACAACCCCATTCTATCAACTGATCCTCAGGTGGCATAGACTCGAGGCCTTACACCATCTTGTCTGCCTAACTCTGAACTTTCTCCAGTTATCAATGACCTTACTAAATTGTGGTTTCCCAAACCAAGTATAATACCAAAGATTTATCCTAGCCAGAGCACAGTAGTGGAAGATGTCCAGCAGAGTCCAAATCAAAATGAGATTCCCTACAAGTAATGAGAACCTTCAGATGCTCCTGTTTGTGGATAATATGCAGAACATATTAAGTCCCAGAATACTGCAGAGCCTCCTACATGAAACCCATAATCACTCACGAGTTTAGTCTAATTATCCACAAAGAAGAAAACAAGAATGCCTATGTCCAGACTAGGACATAATTGGATAGACAATCAATATAGCTGGTCCATCACTACCTTTTTCTTGGATAGATGCTATGAATGGACAATGAGCTGGGCCCAGGACTGAACAGGAAGAGAAGAACAGACTGAATAGCCTTTGGGAAAGTGTAGAGAGCTTTAAATGACCCCAAGTTGCTCCCTGAAACAGAAGCCCATCTTTTTTTAACATCACTGTTCTTCCAGTGATGCTGTGTGGTTCTATGTCATAGAATATATCAAGCACAGAAGAAACAGTCAGGGGATACCCAAAGGGTAACAGAGAGGCAAGAAAAAAGGAATAAAGGTTGTGACAAGAGAGAGGTATGAATGGAGAAAAAATGGGCCATTCAGAGCAAAAGCAGGAGATAACCAATGGGCAGAAAGAGGGTTTCATTCATATCCACAAAATATCAAAAGATCTAGAGGAAGGGCCTAAGTATAAGTAGACTAACCCCTTGTGGAGGATTTATGAGAGGGCATCACCTGTCCCACAGACTGTGCTGCACTCTACATCCTGGAGGGACTCTGCCCATCAATGAGACCAAAGATCAATCATCCATTTACTTTTTCATTCAACAAACATGAAATGCTTTCTATGTGCCAAAATATAAAGAATACAAAAACAAAAATGAAACGGGAAGGGGAGAGATGAGGAGAAATTTTGGAACTCAAAATCTTATGGAAGTGAATGTTGAAAACTAAAAATAAATACATAAACTGATTTCTTAAAGGGTGCATAGTGTAACTGATGCAGAGAGAAACATTAAAACACTATTTAAGTGCCAGTTATTATTATCAGGATGCAAGGGAAAGAGCGCTGGATTTGCAATGAAAGGACCAAGGTTCAAATCCTGGCTATGCCACTCACAGTACCAATTAGATCTTAGACAAATCACTTAACTTTATTGGGCCTCAGTTTCCATATCCACAAATTCAGAGTGGACCAAATGATTCCTAGGATCTCTTCCAGCTCTAAAATCTATGGTCCAATGACCCTACTGTCCTTTTATCTCCAAAGTTTCTACCTTTGCTCACAGAGTTGTGAGAAACTTCAAGGTACTGAAGAATGTAAATAACTAGACAACTTATTTCACCTGATTAAACCATCATCCTAGAAAGTAACCCTGATTCTAAAGGACAGTTGATCTAAAACTAGCCATTCTGTGGGAATGTTTATTTTTGTTTATACATATACACAGGCACTAACTATAGGCTTCTCAACAGAGGGATATCTGAAATGCCATTCCCTCCAACCTTGGTAATATTAATCATCTAACCTTATGATAGTGAGCAAAAGTCTGTCTCTGAGTGCTGGCCCTAGAGTAAGGAAGACCTGACCTCAAATCTGGCTTCAGATACTTATTAGCTGTGTGACCCTGGGCAAGTCACTTTTGTTTGCCTCCGTTTTCTCAAATGTAAAATGGATATAAAAGCACCTATCTGCTACAGCTGGTGTGAGGAGCAAATGAGGTAATATTGGTAAAGGACTTGGCACATAGTAGGTACTTACTTTCTAGCACCTTATTAGAAATCAGGATTCAGAAATGGGATCATCATAGAGAGGGGATGCAGTGCAGATTGAGGCACATTTTTCAAGGACATGGCCAGTCCAGAAATTTGTTTTGTTCGATGATACATGTTTGTAACAGAGATGTCTGTTTTTCTTACTTTCTCAATGGGGTGACGTGGAGGGGAGTGGGAAGAAGGGCAAAGGATGTGAGAAGAAGATAAGGCAGATTTTTGGGGAAAAAAATACAATGTAAGGTTAAGAAAAAAAGAATGGGATCATTATGCAAATACCTTCTGATGATGAAATAAATGATATGGCCAAACTAAACATATTGTTTAATCAAGTTTTAATACTAAAATCTTAGGCTGGTCAAGCATTCAGATCAGGGTTTCTTAACCTGGGATCCATGACCTTTTTTTAATATTTTGGTAATTATATTTCAATACAATTGGTTTCCTTTGTAATTCTATGTATTTTAAAACAATTTTCTGAGAAGGGATCCACAAAACACCTGATCTGGATTTTAATAGTGTGCATTTTCAATAATCTAAGTAGATTAGGAGCAAAAATCTCATTAGGACTTTAAGAACATTAGCTAGTAGAAGGTCAATGACTTCATCCATTCGCTTAACAATCACTGAATGAGTACCTACCACACACAAGGCATCGTGCTAGATTTTGTTAGGAATATAAAGAAAAATATGACCCAACTCCCTGCCTTCGTGAAGCGTCAGGGGGCAGATGAGAAATGTACACAAATAACTATAAAATAATATGGAAGTAGAATAAAGGATGCTATGTTAGAGTAAAGGAAAGTCAAATTACTTTCAGCTGAGTGTGGGGGAAGGAAGAAATCAGAGAAGTCTTTGTGGAGGAACAGATTCAGCAAGCCCCACACTGTCAAGGGCCACTGCTCCAGAAATCCCCTAGGTCATCATCCCGGTATGTAGGCTTTTTCATCAGAACCTTTTTTTCATTTATATTTCTGAGTATTATTTAAATGATGTCACTTTTGCTGACTTACCTAAATACACGCAGGGGAGCCTATTTGCCAAGGCAATTTCCTGGGCCCGTAAGTGTTTTTTCAATGTCACTGGGAAATAGGTCCCACCTTTGACAGTTGCATCATTGGCAATAATTACGCATTCCACTCTGAAAGGCATAATGTGAACAGAACGTGAAAGGTTTCTGTAAAATTAAAGGCCAATTTCACTTTATCATTACCAATCATCCCGCCACAGCTGTCTATTTCAATTCATTCTGTATGAAGTGCCTCTGCACAGCACCCCCCACCCCCTGCGCTCCCCTCTACGACCTGTAATGGCATATTTATTCTATTTATAGTTATAGAGGTACATATCTCCTCCAACAGAACAGAAGCTCCTTGATAACAGGGGTTGTTCCCTTCTCAGTATGTCTATCACCAACATCTAGCACAGAGTTTCTGGGTACTTAATCAATTTATCAATTAGGCCAGCCAGCAATCAATACATTGATGGTCAGTGGTTTCTTTCAGTAACCAAAGATGACCAATGGAAAGCCTGAAAGCCTTCAATACCTTTTGAAAAGGAATTCTCCTGACAAGTGGAAATCAGCCATGATGGGTGGACATTTAATGAGGAGGTGGGCTAGAAGTCTTCAGCTCTTCCTGCTGAGACCATGGTTTGATTATGAGACTCAGCCACCTCCAGCAATCTGGGCAGGGGAAGTTATTTTCATCCAGACCTCTCTGGCTGGTTTTCTCCTTCGTGAGCTGGGTCACCCTAAACTCAAATGGAGGGGTATAAGGACAGGGGCTCCTTTCCCCTGTTCTCACCCTGACTGGATTTTATTTACAATCTAAGTAAAAATTAGGTCTCCTAGTTGGTTGGGATCCTATCCAAGACTGAAGAGTATGTTTCCTTGAGGGCTGGGATAATCTCATCAATCAGTCATGTTCTTCAGAGACTGACTTTTTACTTTTTACATCAATTTAATAATTGGTTATCAATATAATAGTAAAACAATAATTTCTCTCATTTGTTATATAAGACTAGAGCTTATGAGAGACTAATGCTGAATTATATGTAGATCTCGGAGTTATCTGCATAGAAACAATAATGAAATCCATAGGAACAGACAAGGTTACTAAGTAAAAGAGTATAAAGAGAAAAGAAGGCCCAGAGGAGAGCCCTGAGCTACAGCCGGGGTGGGGGAGGGGGAGGAAGAGGCGGGAAGAGATGGAAATTATACGAATTATGAAATAGCAAACAAGACTGAGAAGGAACCCACAGACAGTTAGGAAGAGAACCAAGAAAGAATAGTGCTGCAAAAATTTTAAGAGGAGTATCCAGTAAGAGAGGGTAGTGCAACACATCAAATGCTGCAGTGACCTAGAGAAGGCCTAGAATCTGATCAACCACCAGATATGGCAATTAAGAGATCACTGGTGACTTTGGAGAAAGCAGTTTCTATTGAGGGATGAAGTTGGAAGCCAGACTGAGAAGGGATGAGAGAAGAGAAAGTGGCAACAATGACGGCAGATAGCTTTTCCCAGAAGTTAGCTATGAAAGGGAGGAGAGATCTAGGAGTTTAGCTCTATTGAGGGTTCTTTAAGGATGGAGGACACTCAAGTATGATTATAGGCCCCAGGGAAGAAGACAGCAGACAAGGAGAGATTGAAGATCATAGAAAGAAAGAGGTCATCTGTAAGACAGGTCAGCAGGGGACAGGATGAAGGGTACATCAATCAATCAACAAACATTTATTAAGTGGCTACTATGTGCCAGGACACTATACCAAGTGCTAGGGATATAAATACCAAATTAAGACAGTTAATGCCCTCAAGGGGCTTACATTCCTATTGGGGGATACAACCTATTTGCAGCTATATAAACACAAAATCTATACAAAATAAGCAGTGATTATGCTATGGTAGAGACTAACAACTAGGGGGACTCAGGAGTGTCCTCTTTAATAAGGGTGGCACTTGGCCAGAGCCCTGACAGGAGCCAGGGTTCCAAACAGTAGCAGTAACAAAAGTAGAGCACTCTAGGGATGGTAGTAGCAGAAGACAGAATGTCATATATGGGGAACAGAGAGCAGGCCAGTTTACCCCAAGCGTGGAAGTCTGAACAGGAATAATGTGTAATCATCCTAGAACTAAAGAATGAAGCAGGCAGTATAGGAGTTTGCATTTTATCCTAAAGGAGACAAGGAGCCACTGAAGATTCCTGAGCAGCAGAGTGACCTCATCAGTCCTGTATTTCAGGAACAGCAATTTGGCAGCTGTGCAGGATAGAGTAGAGAGGTGAGAGGTGAGAGGTTGAATGCAGAGGTTGAATATATCTGGTCTTCCACTGCTAATTCAGACTAGATAGAAAGGAAACAGGAATTTGGAAATAGAGAATTTAGATGGATTAAATTAAACCCTCTCTACAAAGAATCTCTAATCAACATAAATTCTGCAAACCTAACACAGAAAGGAAAGTCCTAGACATCTTGGCCACATGAAAAGTCTTTTTCCATGATGAGCTGCATAGCAGAAGATATGTAAGGTCCTTACCCTGACACTCGGCCAATGCCTGTAATAATTCCCCCTGCTGGGACCTCTTCATTAGGATACAATTGGTAACCTGCAAACTGGGAAAACTCCAGGAATGGAGATCTGCAGAGAGGAAAAAGATATTATGTAAACTAATGTCATTAAACAAAGCTAACATATTAAAAAAATTTTCTCAACATAAAAGGTATTTTTTTCTTTATTGCCAATCTTCAAATGTATGCCTTTAGTACGTTGTGAAGAAATTTCCAAATGAAAATCAAAAATTACAATTTTATTGATTAAAAAACAATTGTAAGAAATGAAATTCCACTATAATTAGTCAGGTAATCAATAAACATTTATTAAGTGCCAATTATGTGCTAGGAAATGCACTTAGTGCTGAGGATGCAGAGAATGGCAAAAGACAGTCCTTGTTCTTAATTATTGCACAAGGCTACCCATTTCTAATAACAGTATGAATGAGGAGAGTTGTTCTGCATTGGCACTTAAAAATATACCAACCCTGGATCTAGGAGTCTGTCAATTCTTTCTCTAGGGAGCAGTTTTCCTCTTGATATGTGAAGTTTCCGTGCCTTCTCACTACCTCCTATGACAATTAAATGATTTCATTAGCATTACAATAATAACTGCCATTTATATAGTTCTTTAAGGTATGCAAAACATTCATATACATTTTCATTTGACCTTCCTCACTCCTCTATGAAACAAGTACTACAGGTAATGCTCTCTTTTTACAAATGAGAAAAACGAGGCGAAGCTTAAAGATTTTAAAGTGATTTGCCCACGGTAACACAGCCAGAGTCAGATGGAAATGGAACTCAAATCTTCCTGATGCCAAGTCCAACATCCTGCCCCTTGTGCTTCTATGCTGTCCTACAACAAAGCAGATACTGCAGGCTATTATCTATATTTAACGTAGTACTAAATAAACAGGTTACCACTTTAGATAAAAGCCTAATGACTCTTTTTAAAAGCTTAAGATATCACTTAAGGAGGCAGTTGATTCTTGCAACTATTTCTTTTGATTATAAGCTACTGACTTCTGAAAATTAACTGCAACCTCTCCACTATATGGAAAATCATGTTTTCCAACATATTTTTCACCTTCTTCTCCTATACACCTTTGCACTGAAATCACAGAGTATTGAATATATCACAATTCCTTGCACACAGTAGGCATTTTTGCTAAATGCTTATTAAATGAACAAATTTTCTTAGTGATCAAAGAATTTACTATCATTCTTCCAACACCAAGTCTCACAACCTCAGACAGACACTCTCACCTCCCATATCCAATCATTTGTTAAGTCTTGTTGAGTCTACCACCATAACTTCTCTTGTATCCATCCCCTTTTCTCCACTCACAGATACTACCCGATTTCAGACTCTCATCACCTTCTCACCTGGACTATTATAAAAAAGTTTCACTGCCTCAAATCTCATCCCCCCTCTATTCAACTACCAAAGCAATATTCCTAAAGCACAGATCCATGTCACTCCACAATTCAAGAAACTTCAGCTGTTCTCTCATGCCTGTAAGATCCAACATAATCTCCTCTATCTGGCATGAAAGCCTTTTATAAAAGGCTCTCAGCCTGTCTTTTTTAGATATATTGCCCGTTATTCCATACACTGTATATTGTCCCATTCAATGGGCCTATGTGCTATTGGCAGGACCTGAAATTCCATCCCTCTTGTCTGTGTCACTGGAATACAAGACCATTCACCATTCCTGGAAGTCTTCCCTCCTCAGCCCAGCCTCCACAAATCCTTCCATTCCTCTGAAGCTCAGCTCAAGGGCCACATCCTACACAAGAGCCTTGCCCGATCTCTTCACATTTTCAGGGCCTTATGCCCATTGCTCTATTTGTTTGTATATAGTTTGTATTGGTTGATCTATGTAAACAAGGTTTTTCTCCAAAAAATGTAAACTCCTTGAGAGAGCACAGTGCCTCCCACATAGTAGGCATTTTTGCTAAATGCTTATTGAATGAACAAATTTTTTTTGAGATCAAAGAATTCACTGTTAAGGAGCCAACCTACATGTGATAAGACTCTGTATTTAATATAGACTGGTCCTCAGAAAGCAGACGTAATCTGTTATTAGGGCCATACTCAAAGTTTTGGTAGCACTGTAAAAAATGCCAAAATCTGCATTCTGCTGGCACAGTCTTTGAGAACCCTAGGTTACCTCCATACCATGGTAAGGTATTATGATGGGACTCTGTGAAGGCAATGTATATAGGTGATGCTTAATAAATGTTTGCTGACCGAATGACTGGGCAGATATATTTCTTTTAAGCCTAAACTTTCTTCAGTGGAATTAGGTAGCAGATCTAAAGAATCACTAGCCTTCTTAAACTGTGAACTTCATAAAGGTCAAAGTATATGGTATGGCTAGAGTCCACTAAAAAAAGAGTTCTCTTTCAGAAGATAACCAGAATTTTTTTGGTCTACCTACAACTATACTACTGATACATAAAATGGTAATTCAGCATTCAATAAGCATTAACATATGTGCAGCATTGTAGTAAATGAAATTAAATAGCACATTTAGTTCTAGTACTTAGGGTTTTATTAATAATAAAACTACAAATAGTTCCTTATTCTTCCCGAACAAATGATTAAGTCTCCAAAAAGCAATATTAAAGGCTGAAACATAAGATAATTTGAAGACTGTAAAATTCAAAGGAAATCGGAAACAAAGGCAGAAATGACACAGTTGGGGAGGAGAAGTAAAGGAGAGAGAGGAAGGGAACAAAAGGTGAGGGAAAGTTAGCTATTCTTCACAATCCTTTCCACTTAACAAGCCTTCCTATCAACAAAAACATTTTATTTCATTATTCTAAGGTGACACCTTGAAATCCTGATATTTCTAATTCTTCTTTATTTTCTTAACAAAAAATTTAAAGGAAAAGTGTTTTACTTTGAAATTAGAAAACTCAAGCACTGCAATAATAGAAAAAGGGGCAGGGTGCGGGGGAAGGAGGCCAAAACAAATTACACTCTCATCTCTCATTTCACATGGGTATACAAAGAAAAATGCAAAGTAAAATACAAAACGGTAGGAACATAGTAGGAACCCCACTACCCCACCAAACCCCCCACAAAAAATTGACAAATCAGAATTATTCTAAGGCCGTTAACTGTACCAGCAATAGACAAAATTGTAAAGTAGGTAAAATGTATCTCTCTTCCGTCTTTTGGTGTCCACCTGGCAAGCAACCAAGACAATTCTCATCTAGTATTGCAGAATTCCTCCACCCATCTTTGTCATGCCTAAGTCTGCTCTCCCCACAAATACTCCATGCTCCTGCCCAAAAGACCAAATAACAAGGAAAAACTATGAATAGGTTAATGGGTTAGTGATCCATTCTAAGTAACCAACAGGGTTTTTTTGGAGACCATGACTTATTCCAAACAATAGATTATAAAAGTATAGCCCTTGAGCTAGAAGTTCCCTTAGAGGTTATCTAGTCTAACACTCTCATTTTACACATGAAAGAACAGAGACCTGGAGAGGAATGATTTGCCCAAAGGAACACAAGTAATTAAACCCAGATCCTCCAACCAATAGCATTCTTTCCAGTACAACACAATGCTTATAAGGACTTTTATGAGGCTAGTTGAAGAACCTAGCAAACTAAAGAGGCAGACAGATACCCCTTCAAATTATATAATGAAATACACCTCTAACCCTACCTAGGAATAGTCCAGATTTTTAAAAAATTATAATTTCTTTTCTGACCAATAAACTAATCAACAAGCATTTATCAAGTACCCACTAGAAAGTAAATTTCTTTGGAATAAAGATTGTTTCACTAATTGTATTTGTATCCCCAGCATCTAGCACAGTACCTGGCATACAGCAGGCACTTAAATGCTTACTGATTAACTCACAGACTGATACAGTATGCCAGGCACTGTAAGTAAAGCACTGGGGATAAAAAAAAAATCAAAAATAGTTTCTGCCCACAAAAAGCTTACATACTATTGACAGAAACAACATGTAACCATATGATTAAATACAAAACATATAAAAAGTACAAGTTATTTTCAGGGAGGAGAGAAATATTACTAACTGGGGAAAATCCAGAATGGCCTTATATAGGAAGTGGCACTTTATCTGAGTTTTTAAGGAAGCTGAAGATTATAAGAAGCAAAGGTTAGAGGAGTACTTACACACGCTGAAGGCAGGCCAATGGCACAGGGAAAGAGTGTTACATGTGTGGAAGAACAAGGCCAGTTGGGTTAAGACAGAGATTGTAAAAGGGAATGCAGCATAATAAATTTGGAAAGAAAATCTTGGCAGAAATTGTAAAGGGCTTTAAATGTCAAACAAAGGAATTTCATTCTAGGGATAACAAGAAGTCACTATAACTTTTGCGCAGGAGAGAACCACGGTCAGATTTGTGCTTTAAGAATATCACTTTGGCAACTCTTCACAGGACAAATCATAGAGGCACAAAATTAAATTTTAAAATAAAATAAATGTCACTATATTTACCTAGCCTGATATGCTCTGCTCGCTCATGTAGTTCACTTACTAGAGCTTTCATTCGTTCATAGTTTTCCTAGAACAGATTAAAAAAGAAGAATTAAAAAGTTATGGGAAAATAGATAAATGGTCACAGGATATGATAGTAGTAACAGTAGTAGCAGTGGTAGTAGCAGCAGCAGATGTTATCGTCATCATCAGCATTATCATAGGTTTGCAAAGTTCTTCACATATTTTGTATTGGTTGATCTATGTAAACAAGGTTTTTCTCCAAAAGAATGTAAACTCCTTGAGAGAGCACAATGCCTCACACATAGTAGACATTTCTGCTAAATTCTTATTGAATAAACAAATTGTTTTTGAGATCAAAGAATTCACTGTTAAGGAGCCAACCTACAAGTGATAAGACTCTATATTTAATATAGACTGGTCCTCAGAATTAATTATCTCACATGTTAATTCATTTGATCCTTGCAACAACCCTCTGAGGTAGGCATTATTATTATGCCCACCTTACAGATGAGGAAACTGAAGCTGAAAAAGCTTAAATGATTTGACTAAAGTCATACAACCAGCAACTGTCTGAGGCAGAATTTGAACTCAGGTCTGACTCCAAGTCTGGTGCTATTGCCACTCCACCTGCCTAAAGAAACACTAATTAAAAGAATTACAGCCTACCATATATAACAACCATATGAAAGAATGCTCCAAATCACTAATAAGTAAAATGCAAACCAAAAGAACCATGTCACTTTTTTCTTCCCTGAAACAACACTCTCTTTCATTCTATTATTATTATACTAAGATAAATTATTAGTTATATGGATAAAAGGCTTTGTTAAACATGCTATAGTTTACAAAATGATTTAAGGTTAACAAAACATTTTCCTCACACAAACACTGTGAGGTAGCTGGTATGTTACTGTAAGGAAGGTGAATTTTAGTGTGTGTAAGGGGGATTTTTTGTTATTCTTTCTTAGAGTTTTCTTCCCAGGATCCATAGCCATAACAATCTCTACTTCCCAGGTGTTAGATATGAGTTCTCATGATCATGGTTCAAAATAGTTTATACTGCATAGTCGCAGTAGATATAGGGATCAAGTGATGTAAAATTATGAGGCTATTGCTGGCAATATGCCTTCTTTGTCTATTGTCCTATAAATTTAGCAAGTGGGCATTTATCAGTGACTGAGGACCCCCACAGGGGTGAATGTGCAGGCTGAATGCTGTGCGTGCGTGCCTTGATCGGCCCCATCAAGGCTTGGGAGGGGAATCTATGTGTTTGCCTCAACTGGCCCCCACTGAGGCTTGAGGGAATTTAGGGGAAAGCACAAGTTGTACTGGTCTCAACTGAACCCATCAAGATGGAGGGGTAGTTGCCTCCCTCTTCATGCCAGCCCCTGCAAGAATGGGTTGTTAGGGAATGCTATAGGAGTTGGAGCTCCCCTTATCCGCAAACTCCCTTTGGGAATACTAGACTAGAATAAAGTAAGCTTATCTAACCCCTTATTATGACTCCATTCCTATGTTCCCATCTGACCGGATCAAAAGCAAACTTGCTAACAAGAGAGGTGCTAGAAGCCCTCCTGTGTCTCCTTCCTAAGAAATGGTATAGTCATTATGTTTACTTATCCAACAGTTACCCTCATTTTACATACAACAAACAGGTAAAAAAATTTAAACAGTTTTGTCAAGGTTATTCAACTAGTCACAACCAATAAGTATCAGATATAGGACTTAAACTTAAGTCTTCTGACTGTCACTCTTGACATCAAACCACAGCGCCTCCTGGAAGGCACCAGAAGGACAATGCTAGAGGTTGATAGGGGTGGGAGAAAAGGTCAGAAATATTTTTCCAAGGGCACAGAAAGGCAAAGATCAGTACCCAAGGGTTCAGAGAGCCAAAAAATTGTACATAGTAGGCAGGAAACTAGAAAGCAATCCAAATAGGACAAAAGACCAGAAGGTCTAGAAGGTTCAGGGATGGGAAGTATGTTCCAATTACACATCAAATAAACCTGTTCTTGTACAAGTATAAGTCCAGACAGTCAAAAATATGAATCAAGAGTAAAGGTAAACAGCATTTCCATTATCAGTTTAATAGCCCCACAAAAGACCCAAACAAAAACATTTGCCTGTCTACTAAGACAAGAGTGATAGGCAGGGAGAAAACTGGAGAAAGTATCCTATTTGTTACATGTGCTCATTTTACCCCTTTCAAGAAAGAAAAGGGAAAAAACAGCTTCTTTCACTTGGAGATACTTTGATTCTTAAGAAACCTGACCTTAGACAAATCATTTAACTTCCATGAGACAATCATAAAATGAGAGGATTGCAGTTAAATAGCTTTTTAGGCTTATTCCAGTTCTAAAACTCTAATTATTATGATCTCTGAAATAATCAGCTATTTGTACAACTAATATTTTTTCAACTAACCAACTAATCTTTAGTTTTTGTAAAGCAATGGAATGTATCATCAAGAGAGGTTGCATACAATTTTTAAGACATATTTTAAGCTGTATTTTTAAGACAGTTATATTTTATAAATAATTTGAATCTGCCTCAAATCAAGGTAACAAAACTCCTCAAAATCTAATATAATTTTATGATTCTATGAGTAGTGCTTCAGTCTGTCACAGCTATTCTTTTGCTTTTTCTAGCATCAAAAAGACCCAGTCACCAATCTGATTCCATCTTAATGCTTATGAAGTCAAACAAACAGGATGTGGAATCAAAATTAAAAGCAAATTTGCCCTAATAAATGAGTCTCATCAAAACAACTCTGAAGTTTTATGCTATATTCAGTCAATTTGCAAAGATAATAAAAGAGGGATTAGTAGCTAATAAAGAAGGTAAAATGTCCATACTATTATATCCAGATTCCACTGTTGGTAATATAACCCAAGAAAGTCAAACACATAAAGAAAAAGGCCCATACACACCAAAATATTTATAACAATGTAATATGTTTTGTGGCATCAAAGAACTGAAAAGAAAGTAGATTCCCATCAAGTAAAACAGAATGGCTAAATAAATTACTGTACATGAATGCAATTAAATATTACATAGTCCTAAGAAACAAATAATATGAAGAATTCAAAAAAGCATGGGAACGTAGATGCCTAAAAGAGTGAAGAAAATAGGAAGACCCAGAAGAATAATGTATAAGACGCTAATAACAATGTAAATGTAAAAACAAAGAAAAAAGAAAGTGAATACTGTGCAATTACAATGACTAAGTATAGCCCTGTAAGAACTAAAAAACTCAATTCCCCTCTTTAAGGAGGTGGGGACTATGGGTACAGAATACCGCAAATGTTGTCAAAAAGGATTGATATATTGACTTTGCCTGACTGCTTTTTACCCTTCCTTTTCAATCTTTGTTACAATGGACAGTTCTTTCACTAAGAAAGGAGGCAGGTCCTTTGTAGATGATTGTAGGTGATATAACAACAAAAGAGATCAATTAAAATGATACTTCATTTACATATCATTTCAAACTAAATTTATTTCATTCATTATATCATTTATTTCATACATTCATATTTCATTAATTCATTTCATTTTTTTAAAGGATTTCTAATCTGGTAGATCAGGAAAATGCTAAAAACTCTATTTACCCAGCATAATATTTGATAAATTAGCTCATACTATTCTTGTAAAAAAGATAGATATGGGGGGGGAAGATAGATATGGACAAAACAGAGAGTTCTCAAACCAGTTTTCCTCTTTCTCGCTCCAAGCTGCTGTAAGCAAGAACTACAAAATCAGCAAATTGCAGGAAAAGTTAACATGTATTATAACTACTACTATTATTGTGTTAAGAATAACCTTTGTTTCCTCTGTTTTAAACAAGGCTAAGCCTAGAGTAGGAGGGAAATTTCTCAACAATCCCATATACAGGGAGTTCTCAAACCAGCAAGTGTAGTCACTGGCTCCATAATATTGCAAAAGAAGCAAGAGAGAGATTGCTTAACTTCTCCCAAAAGTACTGGAATCTTTTCCATCCTTACAACCTATCTTCAATTTGCATTTTTAATTTAAAGAATGAATAAAAGTCTGTCTAGCCTTTTTTTTAACCATTATCCCACCTCTACCCTCAATACTAAATTATTTCTAATCTGAGAGAAAAGCATCAAATATAGAGAAAAATAAACAACTATTAAAGAACACATAAATCTTGAAATGTGTTCTACAGAAATGCAAGCTCCTCAAGGGCAGAGGTTTTATTTCAATCAGTTTCTGGCACATAATCAGAATGTAGAGCTTCTGTATTGTACGCACAATAGGAATTTAATAAAGGTTGATATGCAGCTAACTGTAACACCTAGCTTATAAAAGGCTCAAAAATAGAAAATTACACATTCAAAGCAGCCCAAATATATTAGCACCTATTTCTAGGGATTTTCAAGTACTTTGGAGTATGTGATCTATGTGTAGCTAGGGGGAAAAAGGAAGGAAGATCAACAGAGAAAAAGAATTTCCAGAAGGAAAAAAATTGAGAAATTTAAAAACCAAAGCAAGAGCAAGCTTGAGACTTTGCTAATATTTCAAACAAGATTTGAATCCTTTTAGTCTGCATATAAATTCAATACTCTTTCCACTACAGCTTCCTCAGAGAAAATTTTCAAAAAACATCTCTGTTGGTTACCACTGTCTACAGAATTAACGAATTCTTTTTTGTGTGAATATCTCAGAGTCCAACAATTATATGGAATCCTTATTACATGCTTTGCACAAAGTAAACACTTAATAAATGCTCATTCATTCATTTCTATTTTCTATAGCAAGAACAGAAAGAACAAAACTCACATATGCTTACATCTCTATTGCATCACCCTTTTTTTACCCTGTTAGAAATCTGTATGGGTCAGTGTTATTTGTTTTAAATTGTAAGGTCCTAAAAGATATGGACTTAGCAAGCGGGTTTAACTACTTTTATTTAGCGTCCAATGTATGTTAGTAAGATCAACAGTCATGGTTAAGGGACCACCCAATCTCTCAGTTCCACAAATCTAAGCCTGATTAACATATAAAATGAAGGAGAAATCTGATATCTGTCACAACGTGGTTGTACTCATGACCAGACTACCTTGAATTTATTATCTTAATTACAAAGTAATAAATCTGTTTATGAGGATTTATGAGGATGAGCAAGAAATAGAAGCCTGAGGGTAAGGGGAGCATCAGCATCCATCCAAAACTCAAAGCCATTCTTTTCCTTAATAATAAGTACCTGAGAAACTAGTAATCAGCTTACCCCATAATATATTCATAATATAGGATAGAATAGATCTTTCTGTAGCCCCACTGTCCAGAATTCCTAGCCAACTGTATTACTAGCCCCATGAAATAAGCTCAGGAAGTCTTACTCTGTTTTTGCCAGTGCTCCGACTCTGAGTGGAAGAGTATCTAAAATGTGAGCTAACAGATGGCGCAGTGGATAGAGCACCAGCCCTGGAGTCAGGAGGACCTAAGTTCAAATTCGGCCTCAGACACGTAATATTTCCTGGCTGTGTGATTCTGGGGAAGTCACTTAACCCCAGTTGCCTGACTAAAAAAAAAAAAAGTAAAAGTGAGCTAAATGTAGTTGGGGCAATGGTCTATTATAAGAGAACGGGTTACTTTCATGGTGCTAGCGATATTCTTGGCTAAGAATTCTGGACAGTAGGCTACAATCTATTCCAACATATAAACCACATAATGTGCAAACATACTCTGGGGTAAGCTGGGGTATTCCAGAGATGATTCTTGCATGACCATGCCACACTCTTGCATTTATCTTGTTAACTGCCCTGACTTCTATCTTCTGTACATATCTTTATAAAAATCTGTTCATCACTGAGTTATCTGAACATTCACAAGACAACTCCCATTTTCTTCCTCATCTGAATTGCCTCTCTTTGCATTCACAATTTTACTCTTGAGACCTTTCCATTGCTCCTGGGTTGACTTCTCCTATAGACTTTTAGCCCATGGTATCCTACCCATACTTTCTTTGAAGCCCTGGAAATATGGTCTCTCTAAATTTAGGGTACATATCAGCTTATTTCAGGCTTTCATTTCCTTCTCTAGCACAAGTTTTAAGATGAAGTGGTTACTTCCCCCCCCCCCAAAGGCTGAAATGGTTATTACTACACCCCAGAATGATGACATTCTCCCCCTCCTTTAAGGTTCAATTCAAAGGCCATCTCCTCCATGAAGTTTTCCCTGATCACCCCAGCCTGAAGCAATTTCTGTCTCTTTTGATCAGATAGCACTTTATATTCTTGTGCACTTATTCTAATTTGGACAGAGAAATGGATTTGGAATCCAATGACCTAGGTTTCTATCCTGGCTCTCCAGTTACTTGCTACCTTCATAACCTTGGGCAACAGTGTTCATTTCTTTCATTTATTCATTCCTATAGTCATTTCACAAATATTTAAGTATCTATCATGTGCAAGGTACTATTCATGAGATACATGTGTATCATTATGTCATGAACACTGTGTTGATAAAAGTAACAAGCCCATTTCAAAGAAAACATAAATAACTATGATACAAGGATGAAGTCCAAAGAAAGTGGCAGAAGACATTTTGAACAGGGAAAGATAACTTTACCAGATTGGAAGGGCCTGGGTCTTAGAGCATCCGTTTCCTCAACCATAAAATGACATTGAGACTAGAAAAAAAAAAAGAGGCTAGAAGACCTCTAAGGTCATTTCCAGCTCTAAAACCCTATGACCAAAATAGTATTTATCTGTGCATATATCCTACCACCTGTTAGACTCTAAATTCCATATCAGTGATTGGTTAATAAGTGGCAGAGATTCATGGCCAGGTTTTCCAAATTCTGACATCATAGGTCGTTTTCAGGTATAGGGTCCACAATTCTATCTGTGATTCATATTCATCTTATATACTAAGAAAACTAGCACTGATTTGCATAAGTAATAGTTCACATTTACACTGGATTTAAGTTACAATGGTTTTACAAATATTCTAATTTGATCCTCAGAACAACCCTACAAGGCAGGCCTGAACAATACATGGCTGTGGGCCACTTGCTGCAGCCAAAGGATTTCAGAGGGCCTGTGAAAAACCCAGGGGATATAAAAGAAAGTAAAGATGTAACTAGTGCTTTGTCCATGCCCCACTTAACCTGCCTTCCACTAGTCACTATTGTGCCCCTCAGGTAACTTAGTGGTGGGTTGCCACTGCACGCTCTCTCCTGTTTGTCACGCGACTCATGGCAACCAACCACTGGTCAGTCTGTCTTCAGGCTGAGAAAAGTGAGAGTCATATCTTTTCACTGTTTTCAGTCATTACTAAATGTAAACAGTAAGAAAACCTGTAAAATGTATTAAAGCTTGTACCACTTAGCAAAGTAAGTTATTTAACATTAATGTGATTTCATGATAAATAAAAATCTTAATACATGTAATTAAATGACATTAGTTGAAATTTCCTTTTTTATATAGTTTACTTGCAAAATAGTTTAATCATTAATTATATCTTTACTTGGAAAGTGGGCTGCTAAAAACCTTTCTGCAGCCTGAAGTTTAACCTATTTTAATTTTGGTTCCTACCTACTGCCAAATTCTGCAGATCTGCTATAAGGTAATAGAAACAGTCTTTAGTATTCTTATTTTATAGAGAAGGAAATTAGGGTGAGTAGAATATAAACTCCTTAATAATAGGGAATTATTTAGTTTTTGTACTTTATGTCATAATTTGTCTTTGTACTTCCAGTCTCTAGACATTGCCATGTCATTTTTTTTATCCACATCTGTGATTTCATAAGTGCTGGGAATTCCTAGCAAGGAAAACTCCCTCTATCAGTGCAGACAGATAACTAACTGCTCCGCAACTTAGAGAGTGAGTTGCCTGAGCTACTCAAAGGTCAAGTAATTTTTGTCTAATATCACAAAGCCAATATATACATCAGAGGCGAGACTTGGACCCAATCCTTTCTGACTCAAAGGCAGGCTTTCTATCCATCATACCACACTGCCTCCCACCTTGCTATATCGTAGGCATTTAATAATAAATGTTTGTTGAATTGGATTTGTAGCCACAGAGTGCTGAGAGGTAGTGTGTAATAATGAAAAAAGAGCTGGCCTGAGTCAAGAAGACAATGATTCAAGTCTTACTTATGACACATTCTGAGTAAAAGCCTTTGGGCAAGTCACTTAACCACTCAGTGTCTCAACCAACGCTTTAAGAATATAAGTCGCATGTGACTAATATGGAAATGTTTTTCATGACTTCATGTGTATAATTGATATCAAATTGCTTGCCTTCTCAATGGGCGGGGAAGGGACTGAAGGGAGAGAATTTGGAACTCAAAATTTTAAAAATCAATGTTAAAAATAATTATCAAAACATAAAGAAAAAAGACTATAGGTTATAGAACAGATGCTTAATAACAGCACCTACCTCTCAGGGTTATTGTGATTAAATGAAATATTTGTAAAGTGCTTTGCAAACTTTAAAATGCTATGTAAATGTTAGCTGTTATCATTATTATTGTATTATTCTTACCTCTGTGGATACTGAAATCACAGATCCTATCAAAAAGGGATTTTATAAATAAGAGCTGGTATTTATTACCTATGCAAATCAGTGGAGTAAGCATTACAGGGGATAGGCCGATGAATATGTGACACAATGACAGGACCAGAAGTTAATCCATGGTATAATATCTGTATGAAGATTTGGAGTCTGAATCGTACTGTGCTATTTAATAACTATGGGACTGTAAGCAACTCACTTCAAAGCCTGTTTCTTCTGAGAGAAGAGAATATATAAAAAGAAAGAAAAGAGAAATAGAGAAGAGAGAGACTGAGAAAGAAAAAGATAGAAAAAGCTAAAGAGATAAAGTGAAGGGAAGCTAAAGAGATAAAGTGAAGGGGTGGTACAGTGGATAGAGCACTGGTCCTGAAGTAAGGAGGACCTCAGTTCAAATCTGGCCTCAGACCAAACACTTGACACTTACTAGCTGTGTGACCCTGGGCAAGTCACTTAACCCCAACTGCCTTTAAAAAAGAAGATAAAGTGAGAGCCAAAGGAGTGTCATTTTTAAAAATTTTTTTTTTGCTTAGGCAATCGGGGTTAAGTGACTTGCCCAAGGTCACACAGCTAGTAAGTGTCAAGTGTGTGAGGCCACATTTGAACTCAGGTCCTCCTGACTCCACGGCTGGAGCTCTGTCCACTACACCACCTAGCTGCCCCTGGGTGAGAGCCAAAGGAGAGACAGAAAAAGGAAAGAGCTAATAGAGATTAAGAGAGGGGGGAAGAAAGAAAGAAAAAGAAATACAGAAAGATAAAGACAGCTAGAGATTGAGGCAGAAAAAGAGAAACATAAAAAGAGAGATGAAAGAGAGGGAGAGACAGAAAGAGACACCTGCAAGGGCAGCTGTAACATGCGGTGTGTCGGCCCAGAAATCCGGTGCACTTTGTCAGAGATCAGGAAGCGGGGAGGGCACAGAAGCCCAGTGACTGCTTGTGCACCGCCACCTTGGCTGTACAGCGCGGCCGACAGAGACCCCTTCCTTGGAAGGGGACGCGGGGGGGGGGGGCGCCTGGCTTTTTACTGATCGTTCTTTTGGGGTTCACCGGAAGTAAATCTCAGAAGGGAACCGTACACGTGCGCGCTGAGCTGAGGCTGGGAACACACCGAGAGGCAGATCGGGGGAGCCCGGAGGCCCCTCCCGACTCGGCTCCACAACCGGCTCCCCCGCCGGCCCGAGACGGGAGGGAAGGAGAGAGGCCGCCGGCCCCCGGCGCGCAGCCTCGCCCCGCCCCGCCCCGCCCCGCCCGGCCTACCTGGTAGAGAGCGGAGCCCGTGTCGATTTGGGAGCCCAGCGCGGCCACCGCGTCCCCGTGGTAGGAGCGCAGCCTCGGCGCCGCGGCGCAGCTTGGGAGCAGCACCCGGACACCGGACCTCAGAGCGGACAGCATCGCGAGGAGGGACCGCAGAGATGAGAACCGGACAGAGCCACGGTGAGCAGCCCCGCCCCCTCCGGCCCATACGTGAGAGGCGTGGCCACAGGCGCAGTCACGGATTGGTCAGATCGGCCCCGCCCTCCCCTCGAGCCGCAGCCAATAGGGGCAGACTAATTTTACCTCGCCTCTTCTGGGGTATGCTCGTCCTAGACGTAGTCGCCTCTCTGAGGCTCACGTGACGGGGTGCAGTCAAGATACATGTAGATTTCTATTGTTAGTGTGTCCATTCTTAGCTTTCTAACGTGTGGCTTTACCCTAGCTTTGACAAAATGTTTGCGCCACCTGTGAGCTTTAACTTTGACAGGTAGGCATTAAATTGGCAGCAAAATTGCAATCTGAAAGACACTCTCCCAAAAAAGAAAGGTTTACTAAGTAATAACAAGTGTGTACGCAAGTAAACATCCTGGAGTAATTTGCAGTGGCTGTCTTTGGAAAATGGAGTGTACAGAGCATTTTGCTAGATCTAGGGAAGATCCAAAGAGAATAACTTCCTCCCCACCAAAAAAAAGGGGGGGAGGGGTTAGTTACTAAGAAACAAGAATTATGTGCACAAGTAAAGATTTTCAGCGTCTGTCCCTGGAAGGTGGAGCATACAGAGCACTTTGCTGGATCTGGAGAAGATTTAAAGATGAATAAGACACTAGAATGGAGCTTAAGTTAGCTGGAAGACAAAATTCATACACGGAACACAAGATCAAGCAAACAGGTGGTTTGGTAGCCAAGTCGAGGAGAATATTAAGGCAAGGAAAATTTCAAGTTGTCCAGAGCCCTAATTTTATAAATGATGAAACTGAGGGCCAAAGGGGAGAAAGTTATTTGAAACGATGGTGCATGCAGCTAATAAATGTCAAAATTGGGATTCAGGTCTTCTGAGTCTTTTAACTCCAAGAGCATCTTCATTTGATTGAATTTAAATCTGAGGATAAATTTAAAATGGAGAGTCAAAGTCCCTGGAGTCTTGGAAAGTCCACTAGATACTGCTCAAGTTACAAGTAATTCAAAGTGATTTCAAGAAGGAAAGAACTAATAACTAGGGATCAGGAAAGACTTCATGTAGGAATTGATAAGGGGGCTATACTATGGAAGCTAGGAATTCTACAAGGCTGAGGTAAGGAAGGAGTACATTCCACAAATGGGGGACAACTTGTGGAGAGGCATCTCTTTTGTGGAGGTGAGGGAAAAGGAAAAGCAAGAATGACTCAAAGGTTATGAACACAGATGACTGTTGTTCGTTGGGCTACCAACAAAAAATGGGAAGTTTGGAAGAGGGATAGATTTGAGAAAAATATTGGAAGAATATGTTCTTGGACTTTGAGTGTCAATTAGTACTAGCTTACTAAGTTTTTAAGTGCATTTTGTGCTATTTTTGTTCTTTGAAAACCATTCACTAGTGTATGTATGATATGGCAGGGATTGCCACACTTAGAAATCTCTACTCCAGCTTCAGTACCTTAACAGATAGAGGAGTTGATGTTCAGGAAGAGGAGGAGCCAAGATGGCCGAGTAAAGGCAGGGATTCACTTGAACTCTCCCTGAAACCTCTCCAAATGCCTTTTAAAAATGACTCTAAACAAATTCTAGAGCAACAGAACCCACAAAAAGACAGAGTGAAAGAAATTTCCAGCATAAGACCACTTGAAAAGTTGGCAGGAAAGGTCTGTTGCACCAGGATAAGAGAGGAGTGCAGTCCAGTGTAAGCTACACCAGCACAGACCCCGTCCCCGCAAACCTGGGCCTTGGGGTAATTGAATCAGTGATAGCAGTAGTGGTTTCCAGACCTCTCAACCCACAGATGCCAAAAACAACTTGGAAGATTAGCAGAAAAGGAAAGCACCAGGATAAGAGAGGAGCGCAGTTTGGTGCAAGCTGCGCTAGCATAGACCTGGTCCCAACAAACCTGGGGCAAGCCACTGGGTGACTAAATCAGCAGTGGCAACAGCAGCAGCTGCTTCTGGAGTTCTCAGCCCACAGATGGTAAGGGAGTCAAACAACTAGTCAGAAGGAGGTAGTAGGGGTCTTTTTGCTAGCCCTGAAGCAGGACTCTGTTGCTTTGCCCATATTGGGATCCAGGTCACAGTCCTGGGTGACAGTCCCAGAATGAGGAGGAGGAGCACTAGCACAGCAGAGCTGGTGGCCACAGTGGAGGGGGTACCCTCCTCACAGTTCTAGGACAGAAAAGAGCTTGTGATCTGTTACAGACCAGAGCACAGGCCAGGAGAGTAGTAAATACCTCTCCTTAGATTATACTGTCTTCGAAGAACTGAAAACTTCCAGTTCCCTAGAAGTATCTCTGAAAACAGCTGCACAAAACCTCTGAAGCTTGGCACAATGAAGCCTTCACTCTGGAAGCAGAGCCTTACTTTAACAAAGAGTTAAAAGTCAAATAATAGGCTAAAAAAAAAACAAACCTCTGACTATAGAAAGTTACTATGTGACAAGGAAGATCAAAACACACTCAGAAGAAAACAACAAAGTCAAAGCTCCTACACCCAAAGCCTCCAAGAAAAATATGAATTGGTCTCAGGCCATGGAAGAGCTCAAAAAGGATTTTGAAAAGCAAGTAAGAGAAGTAGAGGAAAAATTGGGAAGAGAAATGAGAGTGATGCAAGAAAATCCTGAAAAATGAGTCCACAACTTGGTAAAGGAAACACACACACACCCCCAAAAAAAAACCTGAAGAAAGCAACACCTTTAAAAACAGACTAGGCCAAATGATAAAAGAGGTCCAGAAAGCCAATGAGGAGAAGAATGCCTTAAAATGCAGAATTGGCCAAATGGAAAAGAAGGTTCAAAAGCTCACTGAAGAAAATAATTCCTTAAAAATTAGAATCGAGGGGCAGCTAGGTGGCGCAGTGGATAGAGCACTGGTCTTGAAGTCAGGAGGACCCGAGTTCAAATCCGGCCTCAGAACAAACACTTAATACTTGCTAGCAGTGTGACCCTGGGCAAATCACTTAACCCCAACTGCCTAAAAAAAAATAGAATGGAGAAAATGGAAGCTAGTGACTTTATGAGAAATCAAGAAACAATAAAAAACAAAACCAAAAGAATGAAAAAAATAGAAGAAAATGTGAAATATATCATTGGAAAAACAACTGACCTGGAAAACAGATCGAAGAGAGATAATTTAAAAATTATTGGACTACCTGAAGGCCATGATCCAAAAACAGCCTAGATGTCATCTTTCAAGAAGGGATCTGTGCAAGTGCCTCAGCCGAAGCTTTCACCAAGTTGTGAAAGGGCACAGGCGCCAGACACAAAGGGAATCCTGATGGCTGCAACATGGTGGAGAAGGAGAAGTAGAAGGAGGAGGAGGAGGAGGAGGAGGAAGAGGAGAAGAACAAGAAGAGCAGCATCTTGGACCTATCCAAGTACATAGACAAGACCATCCGTGTGAAGTTCCAGGGAGGCTGAGAGGCCAGTTGAATCTTAAAAGGATTTGACCCTTTGCTCAATCTGGTACTTGATGGCACCATTGAATATAGGAGAGATCCTGATGACCAATACAAGCTCATTGAAGATACACGTCAGCTGGGGCTGGTGGTCTACAGAGGTACCTCGGTACTGCTGATTTGCCCTCAGGATGGTATGGAGGCCATTCCAAACCCTTTCATCCAGCAGCAGGATGGATAGCCCTAGGCTGTGTCCAGATAAGCCTGGTGGCTTCACAGCAGCTCTGTTGAACAGTGCTATGAGGTTTCAGTTCAGTGGGAAATACCTTCCTTTTCTGAAAGGACTCAGTGACCTTCCCTCATTACAACTTGCCAGCTGGGAGAGAAGAGAGACTTTTTTTTTGGTGTATTTTTTTCCAAATAAAATTATAAAATAAAAAAAAGTTATCAAGGAAAACTGTCCTGATATTCTAGAACCAAAGGGTAAAATAGAAATTGAAAGAATCCACCAATCACCTTCCTGAAAGAGATTCCAAAATGAAAACTCCCAGAAATGTTATAGCCAAATTCCAGAGGCCCTAGGTCAAGGAGAAAATATTGCAAGCAGCCAGAAAGAAATAATTCAAGTACCATGAAGCCACAGTCAGGATAACACAAGATTTAGCAGGTTCTACATTAAAGGATCAGCAGGCTTGGAATATGATATTCTGGAGGGCAAAGGAGCTAGGATTACAACCAAGAATCACCTACCCAGCAAAACTGAATATAATCCTTCAAGGGGAAAAATGGGCATTCAATGAGATTGAGGATTTTGAAGCATTCTTTATGAAAAGACCAGAGCTGAATAGAAAATTTGACTTTCAAATACAAGCCTCAAAAGAAGCATAAAAAGGTAAACAGAAAAGGGAAATCATAATTAATAAGGTTAAACTTTACATTCCTACATGAGAAGATATCTGTAATTCATAAGACCTTTTGCAATATTAGAGTGTTTAGAAGGGGTATATATAGATACAGAGCACAGGTGTGAGTTGAATATGAAGGGATAATATCTAAAAAATAAAATTAGGGGGTGATAGAGGAATGTACTGAGAGAAAACTGATTATTGGAGTGAGATTGGATTCCTGGGAGTCCTTCTCCCCTAGACTTGGATAGTGCATTAGATAATTCAAACATGTAGCAGGGAGTTGGATTTGAACACTTCCTAACACCTTGTTAAAAGATATGCATGACCAGAGCCTCCTTGTTGGTCTCCTAGTCCCTATAATGGAAGAAGGCAATTTAGTTTCAAAGATTAAAATCAAAGACAATTAGTTTCTGAGCCGGGAAGATTTCTTCAGTAAGCTAGATTAGGAAGTAAAGAGAAATCTTCCTCCTTTTTTGAGCTTGCCTCTTTGTTGGGACACAGCCAATATCTGCTTTCTCTTAGGCTTCCATTCCATCAGTGAGTGATATGTGAAGAGGAGAAATGTATCTCTTCCCTATCCTGAAGAGCAGCAATGGTGACTACACACAAATGGTAGTGAAAATATGTGCTTGCCTAGCTAAGCCTGAGACTTGACTTCAAGTCCCTGTCTACCTTTACTGCTTTATATTTCTTTTCCTGAGTATAGGTGACAACATAAT